GCACCAAGCACAGCTATAAGAATCTCTGATAAGAAGTGGCACCTGCCGAGCACCATTATTGTCAATGAAAACATTGTCTAGCTCTCCAGCGATGCTTTGCGAAGGACTGTCTGTTCAAAGGTCCCGTTAAGACCCGTGTAATTGGCACAGACCACGACAGCAGTTTACAGAACAAGTTCTGGTTCTTCTTGTCAGCGGCAGAAATGGACATTAGCCAGTCAGAGCAACCAATCTGAATTTCCAAGAGCTAGATCATCTCCATGCCAGCGAAGCCTGCAGCATGCAGCGATCGCTCCCAACAAGTTGATTAAGGAGGACTGCTCTAAATAATGAATGCTGAGTAAAAGTAACCCCCCCCCCACCCCCCCTGCTGCAAAGGCTGATCTGAAGTATCTTGATCCAAGAGTCACCTTCCGCGATCTTCCTCGTGACTTGGATGGATTGTAATATCTCTCAATAATCCCGTTGGCTTCCTGGAAGACTGTGGGACATGCACTGAGAACAAGGGGAAAGGTTTCAGCAGGTCATGGTCTGTCTGCTGGAGGTGGGAATATGATTAACTCTGTGCAGCCGCCCATAAACAGAAAGAGCCAGGCTGTGCCTTTACATCCCGGTGACAAATACCATTTGCTGTCCCCCAAGTACATGTGTGATAGCCTCTGGTCGCTATGATATTGCCACCTCGGCAACGGTGCAGACTTGCAAGATTTTCCCATGGTGTAAAATTTCGGAAATACCTGCTTGCAAATGGATGTGTTTCTGCCTCCGAGTGCGTAAAGATATTAAAATATGACACTACTGAAGTGGGATTGATTTATCGTGCCAGTGAACTAGAGCACTGTGCAGACATTGAAGCGTAATGCTGAAACAGGTTAAAGAGATTGTCAGTGGCAACACAAGGAGAAAGACACACATCCCCAAAGTAGCACTGGTCCTAACAGCTCTTAACTGTAGACAAAGCCGATTCTTCCAAGTCTCTTGGTATAATCAACGCAATTCGGTACAGTATATGTCGATAAAAAGGTAAAAAAAGCAGAGCAGCATGCGCTCTTTCGCAGGCTGCAGAAACATTCTGGTGTGCAGCAGGATATAATGACTGAGTTTATTGGGGTATTGTTTCCTATCACTAAATTACTCCAAGACTGCAGCAGAATTACAGCATGACTATTACGACACAACCATTCAAGACTACAGTCCCATCTCCGCTATGATTTATATAGCACGCACAGAAGACACAAACGCACTCTGTTCTAACAGGGCTCCAGTGTGTGAGGGCTAACTCTTACCGTTTTTGTCCAATGCAGACTGGCTGTCTTATTGTATATGTGTATTCCTGTGTAACACAGAGATGCAAAAGGACAAAGTAAAACCAATTTAAGAGGCGCTCCAAGGCTGTGCTTAAGAGACAGTGATTTATGAAGGTTCCCTAGCGAAAAGAGTAAACGCAGCCAATGACCAATAATCAAAGTCTACTATACAGTATGTCTGTCTATCATATAGTGTCTGTGTGGACAGGTTTCAGTTCTGGGGTGGGAGAGAGTGGAGCCAATGATACACACTACATGCAGGAAAGATGCTGAGTGTGAAGTCAGAACTTTGATTCCTTCTGCTCTTTAAACAATCATTTTCACATTGACCCTGATTTACTGCTTACAGGCTGCTAGCGAAACTAATCTCGTAAGGAGCTGTGTTTTGAAACTAAAAATAGAGCAGCATATACTTTACTAGCCTTTGCAAATACAGACTGTGTAAAAATACAGATCAAAGGAGCTGATAGGCCACCTTACAAAGTATTTTTCTTCAAAAGCAGACAATGTAACATTTTTCCTTCTCGAGATTCACTTGATCTGACAGTGATACCATTTTCAGGTTAGTTTCAGGATGGTGAGTAGCTAAGCCACTCTACTTTTGCTAACTTTAACATTTTTTGAAGATACAGAGTGCCTAATAATGTCTGCAGCTAAAGATGTGTAATATATTATTTCATATTTCATTATAAGTGCTGTAAATACCTATATAATAGGAGGAAAAAAAAGTAATTTCCATCTTGTGTGCAGGACTCGATCTCTCATCTGTTACTGTACAGCCACCCAGGCTGTTCACAGCTGTCTCAAATGCACAGGGTCAGAACAGCACTGCAGGCGCAGAGCACTTTCTCTCACTGTACATGTGCAGTCTCTCCCAGGACCTCTATTGTATTTAGAAACAAATGTGGTACACGTAATGGGGGAAACAAGCTTCTCTGCATGCAACATTCTAATTTGATATCAAAAAGACTGACAGCATTAATGGGACATTTACCAAACGTGTAAATAGTACACTGTGTCTGTACGAATATGTGAAGACATTTCAGACATGAATCCAGTAAAAAGGAATCTTGATTCAGGCCTAACTACAAAACAGTTTGTTTTGCTCTTATTTTCACAGTGAAGCGGTGCATTTTTAAATTCTCTCAGAGCAGCCGTGACTTCAAAGCTCTTCCTAAAAGAGATTTCGGTCTTTGCCGACAGTGGCGTCCTGAGGCATTTTCACGGCCGCTGCTCTTAGTGATGTGCAGTAAAAAAAAACGCAGGGTGTCTGCTGGTCCCCATTTTCAAGGGTACGAGACAAGCCTGGGTGCGGGTCGGATCCGTATCCCGTTTCCCCTCGCAGGTACCGCGGTCCGTAGCGTTTCTTCGGGAGCGGGGCTACCGGTAAAAACGCTTCAGAGCGGCGCTCGTTCGCGTCCTCGCCGCGCCCTTACTGACGCCCCTGGGTCCATCAGCCTCCGCCGGCAGCAGCTTCTGGGCGGACGAAGGCAAAAAGAAAAGAAAAAAACGCAGCCCAGCCACTGAACTGTGAAACTTCAGCTTCACGGCTCACCGCGCTCCTTCAGTACTTCACAAATGGTCTATTTTTTTTTTAGAGGAGAGAAAAAAAAGTAACAGCAGAATTGCCCCTCACCCCCAACCTTCAAAAAATCTGTGCGAGAAGATATGGAGAGGAGGCTGTGTGTGTGTGTGGGGTCTGTGTGTATATGTGGTGGGGGGTGGGGGTGTTTGTGGTTTGTGATGAAGGTCATAGCCGAAAGCTGAATTCTGCAGTATTTACTGCAGATGAAGTGCTGGGTATTAAGACAGGGAACATAACTGGGAAAAAGTAAAAAGAGGTGATTTGGGAACTTAAATAAAAAAAACCCACCTATATTATTCATCACAATAGCAATGAGAATAGTTCACCTCACTATGATAATTTATTTTGAGGAAGGACGAAAGGTTTCTACAGTGTGATGATTCAACGCATCTGGCTTGTTTGGTCGTTAGAAGTGTATTGATCCGTGAGGATCTCATCCAGGCATTTCCAGAAGATTCCCAGGGCATCACATTTAACAACATGAGAGGGCAGGCAGACATCCACACTCCTTTGTGCAAAGAGGGTGGATTTGCTGCTACAATACTGTGCTTTTTAGGCCCAATGGAATCTTTGCAGTGTCTTTCAAGATTTTGCTTATTTGTAAAAGTGCACAAATAAATGCATACAGTGTGTGAAAATATATAAATGCCAACTTAAATCTAAAACCGATATTGCCCTGCCACTCACAGCTGGCAGCCAACTAAACGCAGCAGGTGTGAGCCTGGTCAGTACCTGGATGGGAGACTCCTGGGAAAAACTAAGGTTGCTGCTGGAAGAGGTGTCAGTGGGGCCAGCAGGGGGCGCTCACTCTGTGGTCTGTGTGGGTCCTAATGGCCCCACAGGGATGGGGACACTATAGTGTAAAAAGGCGCCGTCCTTCAGATGAGATGTAAGACCGAGGTGTTGACTCTCTGTGGTCATTAAAAATCCCAGGGCGTTTCTCGAAACCAGGAGCGTTTCACCAAGTTGTTGGTGTCTTGGTACCTGTGGGGTTGTTTTGGCATTTTCACACCTTCTTTCCGCTGTAAGGATGGTCTGCCGTGTGGTGAAACGCGTATCGCTGTTTCACCAACTCAGCCTTTTTGCTGAGCCCTGGCGTTTGATTTCTCTGCTCATCTATTTTTAAAGACAGCGAAAGGCTGTGGAGAAAAAAATCGTTAATCTTTTTTGAACCAATACGCCGTGTGTGTGCAGGACAGTGCATTAAGTGTAGCTCTGAGGTAAGAACTTTTACAGTATATTCGATCGCTGAAACGATCGACATGATTCACAGATGGAAATGTGAGTATTTGATCCTGAACATATGATCTTTGTGATCTTCCTTTTGATCATAGCACTGGTTTAAAAACACAGCTTTGATGAGAGAATCTTGTAACCTTCCTAAGAACAAAAATTGGAAACATTTATATAACATGAAACTGTATTTTTCTCATGTTGTGGATTTTAGACCAATAGTTTTGTAATACGAGGTGGATTTGACTGTGGGATTTGCTTTCAGTAGAACAGGGGTTTCCAGCCCCGATCCTAGAGAACCCCATTCCAGCAGGTTTAATAGAGCAGCGTTCAACCAATCCATTTCTAAAAGCCTGGAACATTTTAACTATAATCATTGAAACAGGCGATGCGTTCAATTAAGTCATTTAGAGATCATCTGGGACAAAATGGGAGACAAGACTTCAGCCCTCCAACACCAACGTTCCTCCCATTGATACACAACGTGCTGAACTGCTCAGTCGCTTAAACAAGTGGTCCTAAACTTTAAGGCTGCTGTTGCATCTTCCGGGTGGATTTTGCACATTGGTGGTGGTGGAGGTAAAGCACTTTGCTTTAGACTTTGAGTGGAGTATCCAGAAAAGTGCTATATAAGTGTAAGCAATTATTATTATTATTATTATTATTATTATTTAAGTAAGAGGTGACTTAGGGGTGACCTAGAAGGATTGGGGCTCTCCAGGAGCAAGCCTGTTGACCCCTGTGTTAAAACTTGATCTTGTTGTGTAGGGTTAATGATTTTCGGCCAGTCGCGTGTTTTGGGGGAAAGCAGCAACTGATCGGTTTGGACGATGTGGTTTCAGGGACTAAGAGCGTCTCTCTGCCTCCCTGCACAGGGCGAGTGGGAACAGGCGTCATGGCCAGTGCCTCCACAGACCTGGATAACGCGGAGCTCAACAACAACAACCGGCCCGCCCCCAGCACGGAGCAGGCATGGGACGCGGAGAGCACCACCGCCAAGCTGTTCGAGTGCTCGCGGATCAAAGCACTGGCAGGTGGGCGTGTCCACTGACTTCCACAGGAAGAGGCTGGAACCGCGCCTGATGTGACATCAGGATCAGGATCAGGATTAGAAACAAGATTTATGTAGAAAGTGCCTTTCTAAACCTAAGGATGGTATACATGTTCTGCAGAAATAGTGATAGAGAAAAATACAAAAAAAGTACAATAAAAAGCAAAAATAAACAAGAGCACACAGGTTTATACCGATGTAGAGAAAACAGACATAAATCTTGGCAAAAAAGGAAAGTTCTGAGTTTGAGTAGGGAGCTGTGTCAGCATATTTAGGCTGCATAGGAACGGGTAAAGGTTTTGCTGAAAGGAAAAGAAAAGAGGCACAACGATTCAGCTGTGGAGTCTTCTTCAGGTGTGAAGAAGCACAGCTGCCACACCTGAAGAAGGTTCCACAGCCAAAACGGTTGTTACGGGGAGTCTTCTAAACCGAGGAAGGGTAGGATTCTATGTGGGCTCAGGAGGTGGGGAGGTAACCAGAGAGTTACTTACTTAGTAGATTCGTTATTCAGAGATGTAGGCAAAGCTGGAAACCAGAAGTCCTTTAACCGAGACAGAGTCCTAAAGCCAAGCAAAACCGTAATCCGAGAAGCCAAGTCCAAAACACGAAACTGAGGAGACACTCCGGATGAAAGGCCAGGGATATGTGGAGCTGGAAAGGCAAACACAATACTGAGCGTGGAAGAACAGGTAAGTGGTGATGAGGTACATTGGGAGGAGAGGATGTGTCGGCAGTAGAGCGAAGAGGTGGGTTAGGTGATAATTGTAGTCTCCGCCTACGTCTTGATCAGGACGCCTGGGCCGTAACAACATTTGCCTCTTCTTTTCCTTTCAGCATGGAATAAACCTTTACCTGTTCTTTTGCAGTTTTAAGTTAGGATTTGTCAAAGAATGTGCCTCTCTTAGAGCGTGAGGAAGGTCATTCCATAACACTGGAGCAGTGAAATATAGTTCAGAAAAAATAAAAAAAAGAGGTTATTGTGAAGACTGGAGCCAGTAGGAGCTGGTAGGTCAGGAGGTTGCACTGTGGTTTGCCTGACCAAAAATGGTTGGTCAAAGTCTTCATCTCCTTCCCTTCTGTCTTTTTTTTGTTTGTTAAGATGAGCGTGACGCAGTCCAGAAAAAGACTTTCACCAAATGGGTGAACTCTCACTTGGCGCGGGTGTCCTGCCGAATTGCCGACCTCTACAATGACCTGCGGGACGGCTACATGCTCACCAGACTCCTGGAGGTGCTATCAGGAGAGCCCCTGGTTTGTTCCGACTTCTTAACCTCCATAGCCCAGGGCTGGTAGACTTTAGACTGGTAGATCTTTTTGCCCGCTTACAAAAGAGCTTTACGCTTGAAGACAATGCTTAAGGTGACTTCTTTCAATAAATTCAAAGAGGAATAATGTAAATTGTGCTGATCTTTAAATACCGTAGGCCCTGTGTGGCTGTTTTTATACTCTGACGAATAAGCGGTTTCTCGAACTCCTCTGTTGGCAATGGTGTTTCAGCCCAGCGCTCTGCCCCTCTGTCACGCTCTCTGTCCCTCAGCCCCGGCCCACGCGAGGACGCATGCGGATCCACTGCCTGGAGAACGTGGACAAGGCCCTGCAGTTCCTCAAGGAGCAGAGGGTGCACCTGGAGAACGTGGGCTCCCACGACATCGTCGACGGCAACCACCGCCTCACCCTGGGCCTCATCTGGACCATCATCCTTCGCTTCCAGGTGCGGCTCTGGCCACTTCTGACAAGGGGGGAGGAGACGGATGCGTTTCCAGACCATTGCAAATCAGAGTGTTTACTTAAAGGTGAACTCTCAAAAGGGTTATTAAATCTCGGTAAGGAAATAAATTCATTGACGGAATAGAAAAATTTCAGGCATTTCACAAAATGGTGAACTTGTGAAAGTACTGTTAGTCACCATGTTGAATGAATGAACAAGTAAGTTCCATTTATCGGCAAAAACCGTCTTAAAGTCGTAGAAGAGAATATTCACAAGCCTGCTTGTCTTCAGTGTAAAATTGCCGCTTAATGTCACCGGAAGTTCTGTTGCCTCATTCTGAATTGCAGACAATTACATCAATATAGCACTGCGAATAACTGGAAACTTTACAGTTTATACCTTTGTGCTCACAGTTTTATGGTGACCCTCCAGAGCCACAAGTCCTATAGGTCCCCAAGCACTAGAGGGCACTGTGTACATTTTACTTTTATTGTGGTTTAAAATGCCCTCATCAATGCAGATACTTTCTAACTTCGAAATAGAAAAGTAGCGTTGCAGTTCCCCTTTTAATTGTTGAAATAATCTTCAGTGGTAAGGCCAGTCAAGTATTTGAAAGTCAATTAAATGACTAGTGGGAGGCAGGACACTATGGGGATGAGGTGAGCACATGGCTGTAGGGTGGCTGCTTTCTCCTGGAAGATGGATCCTGCGAGCTAATTAAACCCAGGACTCCAGCAGATGCTGAGCATTCATTCAGTCACAAAGGACTTCCAAAGTGCATTCTTGAAGCCAATCTTCACTGGGAAGTCTCTGAAACCTGGTGAAGCAAACACCCAACACAGATGGCCTTCCACACTTTGCTTCCTTCTGTTCTGCTCTAATAATGGTGTTAAAATGCTGTTTATGCCAAATGTATTTAATCTGTGCGGCAATGAACAGGACCAGGTAGACTCGGTAAAGGTGAGACCCCAAGATCATACACAGCCGCATAACTGGAGGAGACAGTTCGGTCAGCAACTTGAATTTCCATGTTAATAGAGGTGGCCTTAGTCGATTTTTTGGGATTCTGTTACAAAAATGACAATCCCCAAGCCCTCTTGCCTTTCAGCATTCCTCACTGCTGAACTGTTGTGGGGATAGCCTGGGCAATATAGCTCTCGCCCATTCTGCACACAGCAGCCAGGCAGCCGACAGGCTCTTGAATTTTTCATGTGGTGAAAGAGAAGGAGAAGGGCGCTGCAAACGGGTGGAACTCTGGGAGCGTAGGCCTTTACTATTGTCCTTTTTTTTCCTTCTCCTGTCTCGAGCTGGTGCCAGACCTCTGCCCTGTCAGCATTACAGGGGCTCAGCGCTGCGGTATCTGCGTCGGAAGTGTGTGTGTTGGGAGGGGTTTTGGGTGAAAGGGAAAGCATATGAAAAAGACAGTCAGGTGAGCTGGAAACATGATATGGTGTGTGTGTGTGGGGGGTAGTTGTTCCTGGAAAGACTTCCGGAGTAGATGCAGCATTCAGGATAGTCCAGAGCCTTTCCTGTGAAGGCAAAACAAGCAAAGCAATCTGCAATATTACAGGCAAACGTCAGAGCCTGTGAGCTCTCAGCCTGCTCTCCTGGGCTGCTAGCGGTAACATTATTGATGATGATTAACATTGAATATCAGAGCTGAAGGGTTTTGTCTTTCCACTCTTCCTGCTACTGCTGTTACAGTTGTGAGCACAGTTACTGCTGCAGCTGCTAATAAATATTCCCATTGGTTTTATTCGCTGATCTGTCGTTGCACTGCACTGAAACCAGACACCTGTCAGAAAGGGAACCTGGTGCCACTGTCCATCAGATTGCAGAGCTGGAGGGCCATTGTAGAACCCATTTATTGCACAGATCTGAAGAGCTGCTTGTGAGGAGAGGAGCTGGGCACCACGAGTCTTCAGGATGCCGTCAATTACTTGCATTTATTTCCAAATTCAGAGATCGAGAGAAGCGCTGTCATTGCTGAGGTTGAGGAATGCCTGTTTATGTCACTTGGCTTCATTAGCTGGGATCAAATGTGCCCATCAGAGCATGTGTGCAGATTAAGAGTAAATACATGACAGATAATGCTGGAGTGAATCCAGCCTTGCGCTTCCAATAAAAGTTGCAGAAATAAAAAGAAAACGTGAAACAGAACAGTAAGAAACAGAAATAAGGTTTTGCCTCGTTCCCCACTCTGCTCCTATCTGATTCTCTGTGGAATCACGCAGCCCCTGATTTCAATCCTGTTTCTTCTGGTCTGGCAAAGGAAATCTTCCCACCTTGGACCTACAGCAAAGACTCCTTACCTCCCTCTACCTTCTGTCACGAAAGCATTCTTTCCGGACCCTATGCAGACGACACAATCCGGGGTAGAGGGAGGAAAACACGGGGAAAAAGGCATGCAGGGATCAGGAATGAAAACAGGGGGTGTGTCCATGGTGCTCTGGTGTTCGGGGAGGTGTGGCTGAGGCAAACTGTCCAAAACTGAGTCCAATGGGGATTCCGAGAGAAGGCAAAATCCAGAACGGGGCGGTCCATCCAAGACAAACAGAATTCAAACTGGAACCGTCAGGAACAGGAACTTTGAAACCTTGACGGGACCTGGCGCTTCCAGGTCCCGGATTCGCCTGGTACGGGAACAAATGCAGAGCCTGGAACAGAGTGAGTGCCCGGCTTTTATAGGACATGGGGCAGGAACCAGAGGCAAGTGCAGGGAATGAGTACTGAACAAGGAAGGGCTGGAGCGTCCTTAAGAGGAGGGGTTTACGATCGTGACACCTTCATCGTGTATTTCCCTTCCTTAATCAGATCCAAGTCATAAAGATTGAGACTGAGGACAATCGAGAGACACGCTCAGCCAAAGATGCTCTCCTGCTGTGGTGCCAGATGAAAACTGCAGGGTAAGTGGTTGCTGGAGTTATCTGAGTCATAATGACAATATTCATGTAAGAGACCTGCGAGATACTATGTCAGGATGAGGGAGACAACCTCAAACGTTTTAAAAGCACCTTCCTTGCCATCAGCTCTCCATGCATTCCTCTGTTTTTTACCAGCTCTTCTTTGTTGCATACTGTCCAGTAGCACATGTGTTTCCCTCTCCCACATTTCTCATACTGTAGATGAAAATAAAGCTGCTGATGGCATTACTGTCTGACACCCTACAGGTACCCAGAAGTGAACATTCAAAACTTCACTACCTGCTGGAGAGATGGTTTGGCTTTCAACGCACTGATCCACAAACACAGGTAACTCAGGACTCAGGAGCTTTTCCTATTATCATCTAGGCTTTCTCCAAGAAAACATACAAATGGGTAAGATTATCAATAAACTTGTACAAGGAAAACATTAATTTCATTGCGCTATGCAGCCTCTCGTAAAGCGTTGTATTATATGTTGTGCAAGAAAACGATGTAGACAAAGTACAGGGAATTCAAAATGTAAAAGAGCTTTTGATAGAGTACACCTGTAATGAAATAGAAGCATTGCAGAGGTCTGTACTCTTCAGCCAAGACAGATGAGGTATAAAAGAAAGAACTCAGAATGTGAAGTTACAAATCTGGAATGCTTGGTTTTCAGTAGCTAATTGATCTAGGGATCTTGTTTAATCACCTCTTGGAAGAAGACAAGGTATAGGCTTCATTAACATGTCTGGGCAGCTTGTTCTAGACGCTCACCACCCTCTATAAAAAAGTGCCCCCTGTTCTAAGTATTAAATGCTCTTCCCATTAGTTTCCACTTGTGTCCTGTGGTTCATGTTGCACTGTTCATTCTGAAGAAGTCTGCTGGGTTGAATTTGACCATGCCTGTCAGGATTTTGAATACTGATGTAGCTGTCTTCACCAGGTACATTATGTCCCACCACTGTTTTCTCACTCTCAGACTGTGTGTGCTGATGATTTGCAGGGCAGACCTGATTGAATTTAATAAGCTGACCAAATCGAATGCCACGTACAATCTACAGCAAGCCTTCAACATTGCAGAACAGAACCTAGGACTTACAAAATTGCTGGACCCTGAAGGTGAGGTCTTGTCTCTATATCACTGCAAGATGGGCAACCCTCCCTCCTGTATCTAATGTGGAGATACTGTATAATACAATTTAACAAGCTGAGCTCTCTCTTGAATTGAAGAGTTATGGTCACCCAAAGTATATGGTGTCAATAGTGCTTGCATTTTGTTTCCATATTATTGTTAAGTGAGATTTTTACAGCTACTTAAAATTCATCTGCATGTTCCTAAGAACATGTCATAGCAAGAAGGGTCACAGATGAGTAGGTCATTTGGTCCTTTTTTTCAGTGGGTTGCTGGTTGCATATAGAGCTGAGAATCTCATGTAGTCTTTTCTTAAAAATGGACAATCGACCTGAACATCACGGCTGGTCAGTTATGTCTTATGTAATATTCAGGCCTTGTGAATATGACCAGTACTTTTCCTTCTGCATTCCGTAGACGTGAACACAGAGAACCCTGATGAGAAGTCTATCATCACCTATGTGGTGTCCTTTTACCACTACTTCTCCAAAATGAAAGCGCTGGCTGTGGAAGGAAAGAGAATTGGAAAGGTAGGGTGATGCAGGATTCTAAAAGAGGATTTTAGAAATAAGAGATTTTCACCGGAAGCCTGGAGACATTTTCCCTCAACATTATTCCCAGCCTTCTTAAATGTTTTTCGTTTGCATTTGTCTTTTTGGTTGGCATGGTGTAAAGGTAAACAACATAGTAGGGCAGATAGGGCCATGGGCTCCTAATTGGAGGGCCATGGGTTTGAGCCCCAGCTGCAGATACTGCTGTGGTACCCTTGAGTTTCTCCAGCTCCCCCAGTTGGGATACCCTTGGAGAGGACTATTGACCCATCTAGGACATAGTCACACCCACCTATTCCTCTTAACACTGTGGAAACTGGCAACAAGCACCAGACTGAAGAGTTACTACATTCAAGTATGTAGTTGAACAAAATGGGCTGAAGTCTAATCCTCTTTGGTTAATACTTTTCATGTCAGCAAGCTTTTTCACAGCTTCGTTTCAGCGTGCTGCCAGAATATTCTACATGCTAGTTGTGAAATGCCTCTTTTTAGATTTAAAGAGCCAGCAAGTCAAGGCAAGTGACTCTTAACCTGACGCTGTTGATGCGATGTGGCCAGGTTCTGGACAATGCGATCGAGGCGGAGAAGATTATCGAGCGCTATGAAGACCTAGCCTCGGAGCTGCTGGAGTGGATCGAGAAGACCATTGGGATCATTAGCAACCAGAAGTTTGCCAACTCCCTCGCTGGAGTCCAGCAACAGCTGCAGGCCTTCACCACCTACTGCACCATTGAGAAGCCCAACAAGTAAGATGATGCAAGGGGGCTGCAAGGATGGCCCCTGGAGGAGGGAGTGCTTGTGTGTTGTTGGCAATGAAAAGAAACCCAGTTGATTAAATCATGAGCACATTTCTCCTTTTCCCCTGGGTTATATTCAGCATCGGATGCAATAGTTGCTTCCCTGAGGAGTCTGGTGGGTTTATGGGACAACCTCATGTTATCATCCTTTATGACCTCATCTGTCAATCCGTGCTATAGAATATAAACATTATAAAAAGTTGTATTTCATTTTTGGTTGTGTGGTGAAAGCAATGCCGATGTGCACAATGTGACTTGATAACATAGAGTAACACACAGAGTAACACACAGACCCCTGTCTTAGTTGTTGATAATTGGGTGCAAGAAAACCGATCTTCTACTTCAAAGTACAATTTCACTTTCAGAAATGGGCTTTATGATTTCAAGTAAATAAAAAATACGAGTAGTTAGGTATTTGTATTTCCATCATATTTATAATTTTATCACACTCCTCGTGGATGGACAGATGTGAAGAAGGAGGCATGTCCTCTTAGGGTAAATAGAAGCCTTTGATTTTAATAGTTGTATGCTCACTGTTCTGCTTTCATTAATAATAGGGACACAGAACATGAATGAGGTAAAATTGGGCTGCAAAGATTTCAAAACTATGTATATTGAGACCATGCTGTGCTGTGATCAAAACATTTATGCATCTCAGATGGGCTCAACATGTTATACATGTTGTAAAAAAATGGTAATGATACTAGGCTGACAATGCTCATTTTTTTAATTTTAAGGACTTAGCAAAACAACTGAAGGTGCTGCGCTAAGGTTAATTAAAACAGTAAATAAATGAAACAGCCATTGATCAAAGCCTTTTCAGACCAGCTGGGACTGGAATACCTTGACCAGATGTCAAAATAAAAATGGGCAGTTTAGTGGGATGTGTTTTCCAAATTCTGAACCCTGTTATGCTGCTGTAATTCAGCATTTTGGCTTAATATGATCAATCATGTCTTAAAAGGTGTATTGAATCACATTCCTAAATAAAGCAGTATTGTCAGTCTCACTGATGGGGCCAGAGTAACTCCCTCTCTATCTGAATTACCAAAGGGAATGTCTGCTTATTGATGGAAATGCAAACTGAAACATCTGGATCATGTTTAAACCAGGCTTTGTGCTGCTGCAGGGCAAGTGCATGTCCACTCACTGTCAGCTGTTAACTCAAGCCACCATATTGCACAACCGCAAGTACGTTTTATTATTGTCGTTTTCTCAGCTTCCTCTCCCCGTATTAACAATGGCGCAAACCAGGTCAGTCAAATTAAATACTACAACTACTTTAAAAACTCAGGAACAGAAATCTGAAGCACAGATGTCTGATCTGTTTCCATTTTTACAGCATACAAGTGTACAAGTTCTTGACAGTCAGGCTGCAGTTATTGGTTTGAATTAGAGATGTATAAATCTAACAAAATTATACCTCAATGCATTTTTAAAGTTTAAGTCATTCCAGACAGGCTTTAAATACACCTGGTAATTTTTTTTTGCTCTGGGTGTTTCATAGATTCCAGGAAAAGGGTAACCTGGAGGTCCTCCTCTTCACAATCCAAAGCAAACTAAGAGCCAACAACCAGAAACCATATGTGCCTAAAGAGGGGAAATTGATCTCTGACATCAACAAGGTGAGTGTTGCCCTCCTCTAAGGGCATGGGATAAAAAATATTGCCCTGTCTGGAGCTTAGCCCTAACATTTTATGTTATGTCTGACTGTATGTCTGTCGATCATCAGGCTTGGGAGAGGCTGGAGAAGGCGGAGCATGAGAGGGGCGTGGCACTGCGGACCGAGCTGATTCGCCAGGAGAAGCTGGAGCTCCTCGCCCAGCGGTTCGACCACAAGACCACCATGAGGGAGGCCTGGCTCAACGAAAACCAGAGGCTCGTCTCGCAGGTACTGCGACAAACCCCCAAGCTCGAAAGGGAGAAGACAGACACATCCAAACCTGGTAAAGTGGCTGTGTGCATCAGGCTGGAGCTACAAGAAATTGGAGAACTATGGGATTTTTTAGGGGTGCTTGTATTTTTAATTGGGTAGGATCTTTTGATATGGTAGCAGAAAAGGAAGAGCATTGGGAACATATTTTCATGAACAGCTTCTTTCTGGGCAGTGTGAGTCACATAGACCTTTACGTATTGGAGCCATCATGGATTCACAAGGGGCACACATCAGAGATCTCTGAGGAGCTCTGTTTTTCATGGTCTCCATTCATACATATTCCGCATTTCATTGTTCAGCAGTGGGCAGTTTCCACGGTACAGATGTTCCAGTAGAGATACTGACCCTCTAAGGGTCCTAGCTCGTACTGCTATGCAGTAGGAGCCTTGTTTCCATTCCCTCACTGTTCCCACCATGCCGAGGGGCTCTGACTTCCACCTGCCCATTTTAGGATAACTTCGGCTACGACCTGCCCGCGGTGGAGGCGGCCATGAAGAAGCACGAGGCCATCGAGGCGGACATCTCGTCGTACGAGGAGCGGATCGGCGTGGTGGTGGAGCTGGCGACCGAGATGGAGGAGGAGAACTACTACGACATCCGGCGCATCGCGGCCCGCAAGGACAACATCCTGCGGCAGTGGGGCCTCCTGAAGGAGCTGGTGAGCGGGCGCAGGACGCGGCTGGAGAAGAACCTCGTCCTGCAGAAGACCTTCCAGGAGATGGTCTACATGATAGACTGGATGGAAGACATGCAGGTGAGCAAGGGGTAACCCCTGGGGTTTGCACATTCCTTTAAAACACCTCAACACCTTTTACTCCTCAACTCTTCCACAGGGCTGCTAAAATTTCTCCTTTCCATCTAGCATGTGTAGCTGGGTTCCCCTCTGTGAACTTGAAAAGGGTTTTGTAGACTTTGCTCGCATTAGAGATTGCAATGATGAATGATAGAGCAGAAGAAATTGGTGTAGATTTCTTCCAGGAATGATCCAGAAGAAATAATTAAGCATTTGGACCTGGGATTTACACTGGCTCACAGCGGGACAACTGTTGAGTGGCAGTGGGTAATCCTTCTCCTTCTGTTCTCCCCCAGGTGCAGCTCCTGTCCAAGGATTTCGGCAAGCACTTGCTGGAGGTGGACGATCTCCTCCAGAAACACGGGCTGCAGGAAGCAGACATCGCTGTCCAAGCTGAGAGAGTGCAGACGCTCAATGCGGCCGCCCTCAAGTTCGCCAATATTGAAGGTAGGAACCATCCCTGCGAGTGTCCCGTCTCAATCAGGTTTTTGCCCCAAAAAGACAGTTAAATAGTTTCTAAAGAAATTCTGTTCAAGCCAGGCTGTGCAAATGGAACAGTCTTCTTTAAAAGCAAATATTCTCCTGATTAGTTTACATTGATACAGGTAGACTGAATACAGGTAAAATAAGCACCAAGTTACCAGCAGAGCTGTTTGATGGTGTTTGAATTGGGAGTGAAAGACATGTCTTCTTGCTATTTACCTCTTCCAGACAACATGAGGAAGCAATTTAAAGAGACAAACAAGATGCAACGATGTACAATTTGCACCTTGGGAAGTTATGTTACAATTGTATAAAGCTTTAGTAAGACCTCATATAGAACACTGTATACAGTTTTTGTCAACATGTTACAAAAAAGATTGCTGCTCTGGAATTAGTCCAGAGAAGGGTAACTTGACACAATCCAGGGCTTGTTAATCAAGGGAATACCCTGCACTGACAGGCTAAAGAACTGAACCTTTTTAGTCTTGAGCAAGGAGAGACTCTAGTTAACCTGACACAGGTATTCAGAATCCTCAAAGGCACTAAGAAACTCCATGGATTTGTTTAAAATGAACAATAAAACATGAACCACAGGACACAAATTAAAAACTCACAGAAGAGCATTTAAATCTAAGAACAGAACAGAACAACCAGACAGCCTCCTCTCATTTGTCACCTCTTACACATCATATCCAGGGCTTGTGCCTTTCGGAATGACCTGCTAATGAACATTCCTGCAAGATCCCATAGTGCACAATACCATCATTTGGAAGCAAAGATGCATTTTGTAAAGTTTCAAAACAGGTTAGGGTTCCATTGTTATGGCAAGTATAACCGATATTGCTATTACTGACAAAAAAGTCTTGTTGCACTTCCCAAGACAGAGATTGGTAAAAATAACCTAATGCCAAAATGGTTTTAAGAAATGTTTTGTTGCATTTACAGTATACAGTACCACACAAAAGGCTTATTGCTCACAGAACACAAAAAGCTTACGAGTGTTTGCATACTACCTACATTTTATTTTTGTGTTTAAGGCCAAATGACACCTTTATGTTAAAACAATTCTGTACTTGTACTGATACTGGAACAGTTTACTGCCTTCCTACCCTCTCAAGGACAGATTGGAGGAGCTGAATCTTTGTAGATCAACAAGATCAACAAAGTGGCAAGCTTGAGGTTTTCACATTTTTAACCAGTATAAATATAGCTGCCTTTTGACCCTTATTGTGCCTGAAATGCCAGCAAATTTGGCATTGACACTAGAAAACTACATAGTGCCTGGAATAAAAAGCCAGCCCACCAGAGCTTGGCCAATGCAGTAGGACTTCTAAAGTCACTCTGAGCCTTTAACTAAAAGTACAAAGGGAAGCTGCAGCTAAGTAACATCTCCCACCTCTGCAGGCTACCAGCCCTGCGATCCTCAGGTGATCTGTAACCGCGTCAATCACGTCAGCACCTGCCTGGAGGAGCTCAAGCAGCTGGCAGCCAAGCGCCGCGCAGAGCTGGAGGAGTCGCGGCAGCTCTGGGCTTTCTTCCAGGAGGTGGAGGAGGAAGAGGCCTGGATCCGGGAGAAGCTGTCCATCCTGGCCTCGCAGACCTATGGGAAGGATCTGAGCAGCGTGCTGGGGCTCCTTAACAAGCACAAGGTCCTGGCCGGGGAGCTGATGGGTCGGCGCACCTTACTGCAGCAGACCATGAAGAAGGGCAAGCAGATCCTGACCCAGAAGTGCTTCGGGACAGGGCGGATCCAGGAGAAGATCATGGAGGTCAAAGCAGAGTGGAAAAAGCTGGAAGACCAGGCCAGGCAGCGGCTCAGCAACCTCCAGGAGGCCCTGAACTACTTCCAGTTCAACGCCGAGACGGACGACCTGCTGGTGTGGCTGCAGGACACCTACCGCCTGGTCTCCAGTGAGGACTTCGGCCACGATGAGTACTCGACCCAGTCCCTGCTGAAGAAGCACAAGGGCGTGCGGGAGGAGATCGAGACGCACCGGCTGCAGGTGGTGGCGCTCCGCAAGCACATGGTGAGCCTGACCCTGCAGTACCGCGAGCTGGACGAGGTGCAGGCCCGCATGGCTGAGGTGGAGCAGCTCTACACGGAGGTGGCCGAGGTCTCGGTGCTGCGCCAGCAGTGGCTCCTGGACGCCCTGGCCGTCTACCGCATGTTCAGTGAGGTGAACGCCTGCGAGGTGTGGATTGACGAGAAGGAGCAGTGGCTGAACAAGATGGAGATCCCCGAGAGGCTGGAGGATGTGGAGGTTGTGGCCCACAGGTACCGTACGAGATGGGGGGGGGCGGGCGAGGCGATCATTTGGTCCCAGTCCAAAAACCCACAAGACTGACAAAGGAAAACAAAAAAGCACTTACTCCCAGTCTTTTGCTTGGGCAGAAGTGGATGAAGTCCCCTTTTCTTTTCCGTTTCTAGTTCCGAACTGCTGCTATGTAGGACTTGGCAACATTGCTTTAACTCAGCTCCACACTCCTTTCAGGAGGGCTTTCCCCCCTGTTTTTCGGTTTAGGTCACTTCCCAGCCTCTGTCCCAACAGGATGCATGCTTGAACCGCCCAGAAATTGTAATCCTGTCCGGGATTATTGCTTTTGCTGCATTTTTATGTCATTCTCGGGAGTGACAGAGAGCTGTTCCGTGCATCTGGCCTAGAGGGTTGTCTGTTGTGATATGACCTATAGTATAGGCCACATGGAATCCCTATTATTGAATTAAAAGGGGTTGTTGTTATTGGTTGTATATCTCCCCCTAGTGGCAAAAAACAGCCTTGCCAGATATCTAGCTTACCTGATGCAATTCCCAAAAAAATGACTAGCATACATCTTCACAGATGCCGACAGTAGAAACTGGAAGAGAGCCTGCAGTTTGTAAAACCCCAAACTTGCATAAAGTACTATGCAAGACGAACGTGAGGGTCATGCCTATTAAGTGACGTACGCTGCACACAGTGTTGCAAGAAATGCAATAGAGCAATATTTTCACAATGCAATGAGCATTCAATATTTGTACTGAGACAAAGCTAGAGTGAAAAAGAGCATCTGCCATTATTTTAAAGCAGAAATAATTGTCTCCAGACAGGAAGAAAATTCTTTCATATTTTCCAGTTCAATTTAATGATATTAATTGAACGCCATGGTGATTTTAAAATTGAAGTGATATCATTGCTTGAACAATCAGTTGAAATAAACAGGAATATCAGTGCATATCTTCTCCCTAATTAATACATTTCAAATGTTCACAAGGTCCAGATATTTACATGATCCTTGTTGTGTGGCTGTATGTGATCACTAGTGTAAGACTGAAGGACTTAGTGGAGACTTATGATTTTATATTAATCAAAGTTAATCAGTTTGGGCAGCCAATGAATGAATAATAAAGCATGTATGCATTTACACTTGTCAGTGGCTGGTTCTGTTGTGGTTCACTGGTTAGTTCTGTTGAATACTCCCCTTCTCCTACAGCCGTCCACAGCGGCACCACGCTTCCTGTGCTTGTTGTCTCCCCAGGTTTGAGAGTCTGGATCAGGAGATGAACAGCCTGATGGGCCGCATTCTGGACGTCAACCAGATTGTCCAGCAGCTGCTGGACAGTGGACACCCCAGCTCGGCAGAGGTGCGGGGCTGCCAGGACCACCTCAACAGCAGGTACAGTGCTCTGCTGGAACAGATTACGAAGGCTCATTTGTTTTTGCATCACCCTTTTATATGTTTAATTTCCTTCCATGTAATTTTACAGCAGTTGCCTGTCATTAGTATTATTTGCCCTTCAAATGACTTATTGTCATGCTCTCTAAGAGCCACACTAACATTTAATAGGTACCTTTACTGTATATTGCCAAGAGAGCATGTTACTCTTTAATTAAGAAACTAATTATGCCAAACAGAGCTCTGATGGAATTTAGTGTTTAGGAAATACAGAAATTCTGAAACATAATATATGATTTTCTACATTGCATAAATGCTGCATAAAGGTACTGTAAATCCTCACCCAAGTTCACCTAATGTGTTCAAAGATTTTGGCAGTACCACTCCCTTACTGCACACGTAAATATACAGTATATACTAAAATGTACACATTACTCATGTAGTTCAAACGTTTACAGTGACAAGGATAAAAACCAGCTGGCGTGTGGCCCTTCAAAAGCAGGATTGGAAACTTGGGACCATTTCCTAAAGTCCTGAAACAAAACAGTGGCCATCAGATAAGCATAGTAAATTCAGCAATTTAGATACCATTTAGTACACAAAAACTGAATACTTCACTCCTCAAGCACCACAATTCCCTTAATTGAAAGATAATAGTTCATTTATAATCAGGTATAGGTAATTTAGCATGACCTATAGATCCTAGTGGTTTAGGACACTCCAGGACCAGGGTTGGAGACCCTTGTGTCAAATTCCTTCCTGACCCCGGCCTCTTTGACTCGGTGGCAGTATGGGTCTGACACACCAACCTAGATGTGCTGCTCAATTCTTTATGTAACTCATGTATCACAAAGGAAACTGTATTGCTTCACCATGTGATGCTCCTCAGACATTTTCTGAGGTGGTCTTCTCTTTATTCATTGACTGAGTCTTCCAGCAACAGTCCCACTTGTAAGAAGTATTTTCAGAAACAAAAATGCATGCGCATATTTACATGCTACATCCACTACACAGCCATATCCCCTGCCTTCCCATTTCTGCTTTTCTTTTTTTTTGACAGCCTTAATGTGCCAAAAAAAAACCAAGTTTAGATTATCTCTCTCTCTCCTTTCTGGGCCCCTTCCAATCTGACAGTCAAGTTGGCACGGTTTCACATTCTGCATGTGGGCTAATTAAAGACAAATCAAGTCTTCCTTTCTTCGATTTCTACCTCCCCTTGCCTTGAGTAGAGTCACTGGTTTGAAACATGACAAGATCAGTCCAGCGGATCAAGGAATTTCACACTCCTTTTGTGCTGTAAAGTCACTGCTACTATGGACACGCTGTAGCCAATAAGGGGCTTAGTCAAGACAAAGTCACGAATATCCTTAAAACATGCCACAGTTGCAAAAAGTGGCACGATTTTGTCTCATCCTTTTCCCTTTGCTACTTACTATTTCAAAGGAGAGTATTCCCACATTGGTATTGCACAGTACATACATAATATTCCTTTGCACCAAGGCACTGACAAAATGAACGTAGGTAAACATGGTTTCTGTGGGCCCTAATCTATTGACTTATGCTGCTGTTGAGGTTTACCAGAAAGTTTATTTTGAACAGTACTCATCTAATACGATCCCCAGAAGCAGTGCACATTACTCCCATATTGCTTACTGTATCACTGCTGTTAACTTGATTTGCAAAAACAATGTGATCACTCTTCTTGAGGTGGGTCTTTGCCTTGCTGCAGGTGGAACTGCATCGTGGAGCTGGTGGAGCACAAGAAGGACAACCTTAACTCTATTCTCCGCATCCAGAACTACCTGCTGGAGTGCAACGAGATCAAATCCCAAATCCAGGAAAAGAGGAAAGCCATTGAGACCACCCAGTACACGGGAAGTGACCTGGGGGGGGTGCTGGCCTTGCAGAGGAAGCTCTCCACAATGGAGGGCGCCCTGGCTGTCCTGGAGCCCAAGCTGATCCGGCTGCAGCAGGAGGCGGAGGAGTTGGCAGGCACCCATCCAGCTCAGGCCATGGAGATCCTGGTCCAGTTTGAGGAGATCAGCGTGGAGTGGGAGGAGCTGAAGAGGACCTTGCAGGGCTGTGAGGACTCGTTGACGGTGGCCAGCAGGCTCCAGCAGTTCATCCAGGACTTGGACAACTTCCTGACCTGGCTGGTCCAAACCCAAACAGCCGTGGCTTCCGAAGACCTGCCCAACACCCTGGAGGAGGCCGAGCTTCTCATCAACCAGCACGCCACCCTCAAGGAGGAGATTGGACGCTACGAGGAGGATTACGACCGCATCCAGTCCGTCAACAAGTTCCTGGCCCTGGAGGAGGCCCAGGTGCCTTACATCTCCCTGCAGCAGTGGCTGCAGAAGCTGGACGTTGGCTGGAACAAGCTCCTGGAGATGTGGGAAAGCCGGAGGGAGGTCCTTGTCCAGTCTCACATCTTCCACCTCTTCCTGCGTGACGTCAAGCAAGCCGAGTCAGTCCTGAACAACCAGGTGAGAAACAGGGCCCTCTTCTAGGAGCTGGGTCTGCCAGTTTGCTATGTTTAGCTTCGCCAAGGACCAAACCAGATCACAGATACCATCTATTATGTTCCCATGAGAAGGTATACATTCAGTTAATCCCAAAATGTACTTTATTGTGCAAGCCATATAATGATGGCTGATACAGTATGTTTCTTTTAGGTTTTTTCAGTTGTGCATGCTTACAAAGTTTCTTAAAACTGAATAATGTTTAGATTTTATTTGCAATGTCATATGACAAGGAGCTCAGTCAAAAAACATTAATTTGACTTGTTTTTGCTTGAATATAATTTGAGTTTGCATTTCATTACTGAACACTGGATATGAGCACTTCCCACTGTTCAGGGTCCTACTTAATAGTTTTTCCTAACATTCTTTTGAAAGGATTGCAATTATACAGTAAAAAGACATTCTTTCAGGAGGATGGCTGCAGGGTGATACGTCTGGATGTCACTGATGTGTAGTGAGCCAAACAGGCAGATGCACTGTTACTCAGCAGCTTGAACGCCACAGTTGAAACAGCCAATTCCTTAGAAGCTGTGGAGCCACTGTGGACAGTGAAATCTTGACTACTTGAGACTTATTTGTGGGGGAAAAAAACCCAAATGCAATACCAAAATGCCATTTTGCTTGCCAATTCAAGCCAGCGGGTGTTCTGAAAACCTTCTTACAGGCCTTCCTTGTGTCTTAAAACCGCCAGTGCAACTTTAAACCTTGTCCAGATTATGCTTGATGGTACTCAACAAACAAATTCCCGCATTTAGAATTCCAGCCAATCCACTCTTATACTTTAGTTAATGAAATCTTTAAACTGATGTTATTTTTCTCTCGTATGTACTGTATATACCATGGAAAATAATACATGAACAATATACACATGCTGTTTATATGCATTCAATCCTGCCTGCAGATATTTGCACATAAAAAAATCTAAATAAATATTATTGCATATAAACAGTAAACAGTCTAAGCGTACCTATCCATATATGTATATACTGTAGATATAGATATACGCCTGTGTGTATTAAATTATGAAAAGAGAACACCATTATCACAGTATATTGTTTTCTGTATAACATATTTGGGTTGAAAAATACAGTACTGTTGCTATGCTGAAGGGCGGGCTGTTTGCATTGGAAACCAGAATTGCAGCATCTGCTTCAAAATCCCCATCATGTCAGCCCCTATTACCATGTGAAGGCTACAGCAGGGAGCCTGCAGCCATCTCTTCATACCCGTAGAGCTCCGAGGTTTCACCTCCCCCCCCCCCGGAAAGGTCTCAGCACTGTGAGCTCAACTGACACATGTGGGAGATTTGCATAATTTCCATTTTCTGTGGCTGCCACACATTCCTAGCCCCACATGTGTGTGTGCGTGGACTGGGGAAGAGGAGAGGGTGGGGACAGTGTGTCGGAACGGAGACGAGCCAGACACAATCACTGATGCCTGAAATAGCTGGGTTAACAGTCAGCCATGGCGGAGTGTATTTCTTTGCCTGCACGCTTGTGCCCGAGAGCGAGCGTGTTTTCTAATCCCCGACGTAGTGGTCACAGTTTGAGGACAGACCTTCAGATGTACCTACATGTGTGCACAGCTTGCATGCTTACTGGCTTTGTATTGTTTCCAGTATTGCTAAGAAAATATTTTTTTATGCTTAGGACTAACATGCGACGTTTCTCCCCATGGTATAATGCTAAAAAACAAAGCATTAGCTGCAAGCAAATCCCAAGTGTCAGTGTATCATTCGTCAGGAGTTTTCACTTTCATCATCACCGTCTTTAAAGCCCTGTCCTTCACAAGCCAAGGTGCTGTTCTGTAGGGGTTTTTCTTTTTTTCTTGATTGTTCAGCAAGCCAAAATCCCAGGTAATTAGCCCGTTCTCTGTTTTGTTTTTACCTTTAGTGTCTTCAGCTGTGTTGGCAGCACAGTAAACATCACGAGATGTCACTTGTTTCTTTTTAATGATTCCTACGAAGGCTTGAGCACACTGGCACACTGGCATTTGAATGCCTGTAATATTCAAGTCAGTGTTGCTCTTTTGTGAAACACATCCAGTAGCTGCCTGGGTATTATTTCTACTGGCTGTTTTTACCCATGTGGTTCTACATGTGTGTAGCTTTCATTGCTTTTAAGTTACACGCCTCTGCTGCCTCTTTAGACATACTGTACTGTAACTGTAACTGGAAGGTTGTGGGCTCATATTCCAGGTGAGACACAGCTGTTATACCCTTTTGGTACTTCACCTGGATTGTTCCAGCAAAATACCCAGGTCTAAATTAGCACAAATTGAAGTTGCTTTGGATAAAAACATCAGACAGATAAGTCAGTAATAAGATCGAGATGACAGATGAATGGGGTTGAAGCGTCAGTGAGGCTCTGATGGCTAGGTTAACTGGTGATGAGTAGTTTTCCCAATTAGCAGAGATTCACTATTTGGAGAGCTGTTGCGATCGCCAGTTTTACATCCTGCTGCTCTTTTCACAGTTTCAGGAAAAAGATACCACAGCAACTCCGCAGAACAGCATATCTCCGATTACGTCAGATTCACCACCACTTAAACTTTTATTTTTTTCCAGCAGCTATATCACCCTGCAACTCAAACAGCATTTCTTGAAAAGAGGGTGTTACCCAGGTGTCCTGGACAAATTTCCTCCTAATAATCCCTGTCTATGAACTGATTCATCACTCTGTTCTCCTCCCCACTGAGAGCTGGTGTGTGGGGAGTGTACTGGTGCGCTCTGTCTGCTGTCACTTCATCCAGATGGGTTGTGCGCATTGGTAGTGGTGGAGGGGATCCCCATTACCTGTTCAGCGCTCTGAGTGGAGAGTCCAGAAAGGCACAACATAAGCGTAAGGATTTACAGGAATTAAACAAGCCATCAGAGCCTCACAGACAGGCAGGAGGGTCCTGCAGGGGGCAGGAGCATCACTGCGAGTGTTTTTGTTTTTACAAGGCTGATCACCAGAGTGCTTCTCCCCCCCTTGGCAGGAGTCGGCACTGGCCCACGTGGAGCTCCCCGCCACAGTGGAGACGGTGGAGGGAGCCATCAAGAAGCACAAGGATTTCATCACCACCATGGAGCTGAACCTGCAACGGATTAAAGCCGTGATCGAGGCTGGGGAGAGCCTGATCAGCCAGGGCAACATCTATTCCGAGCGCATCAGCGAGAGGATCGAGACCATCGCCAACAGGTGAGCGCGCATGCTGGATGCTTAGAGTGATGAGGGAATGCCTAAAATAATTTCCTGCCAATTTGCATCACCTTAAAATGAGACTGTGAAGTCAGGTTTTAATTCTGACTTGAGCTACTTCATTATTGTACAGCTCCAGTCCTGAAGAGTCTGTAGGTTTTCACTTTACCAAAACTCTTATTACTGGCTATTATTACTCTGATTACGGGCTTAACTGAGCCCCAGATGAACCTATTTAACATCTTAGGTGCTTGTAACAAAGAAACCAGCAAGTCCTGAAGGACTGCCCTACTTGTAGACTGGAGCTGCACACCCTGAGGAACCTTAATTTTAAATCCCAACAGATCTAAACTTGCCTTTTCCCTTTATGTTAGTTCAACTGTGGTGAGTTTTGTTTTGACTAAAACAGGTTCCAAACTACGTTTTAAAATGTATTGTTTTTTTTGGTTTTCTTGCCAGTTGTGTACAGTTTTGGTCACCGTGTTATAGATAAAAAATTACTGCTCTGGAATCAGTCCAGAGAAGAGCAACCAGGCACTTCCCTGGGCTTTAAGGAATGTCCTACACTGACAGGTTGAAAGAACTGAGCACTTCTAGTCTTAAACACAGTAGACTATGAATCGACCCAACCCAGCAGACTTCTTCAGAGTGGACAGTGTAGCACTGATCTGATGTCACAAGTGGAAACTATAGGGATGTGCATCTCAAATCAAGAACAGGAAGAACTTCTACCCAGCCATGTTGTTGAAGCCAATACCCTGGTTTCCTTCATTAAGCGCCTGGATAAGATACTTGCATCAGTTAGCTACTAACTTCCAAAGGGGCCAGCTGGGCCAAACAGCCTCCTCTGTTTTGTAACCTCTTATACTCTTATGTTCTCACTGATGCCTCCCATCTTATTGTCCTTTCCCTGTCCTAACTTTCCTGTTATCATGATGACCAATATAACGTTTTTGTTTTGGTTACAAAATCTGTCCCCTTTAGGGAACTGATTATAATTCACGAGACAAGGCAAAAACAAGAAGAAAAAAATCTTACAAAAGCCTACACCCATCTTAAGGAAAGATCTGGTACACCTGTGCCCTGTGCTATGGTCAGGTAGCTGCACTCTGGGTTTTAATTTTAACATCTGTTAGCAGGATGTTCAGTAGGTGTACCCTTGAATGCACATCCAATAAAATGGATTATCAACACTGTCAACACTGCATTTGTGATAAGCATCCATTCAAATTAGGTTACAGAAAAAATTAGTAAACCAAATGCAGATCCAAAAGACCACGTGGTGCCCCTGAGATCGACACAGGACTGCAAGCTTAAGCCTTGCGCGTGAAATTGAAACTGATTGGAAGGTTGCTGAAGCTTAAAGCCCTCCTCCGGGTGAATTCCCCCTGTATGTGATTGACTACATATTCTTCCCTTCCCTTTCTAAATCGGGGGCAATCTTTGCATCTGCAATTAAAGGGAGTCGGAAAATGGCTCATCAGTGAGAGTCATACCTCTCCCTGGGGTGGAAACAAAAGACACAGATGCTCGAGAGCCTCCCAGTAATGAGGCTAGCGAGAGGCCATGGTGAGCAGACATGGATGACTTGAGCTGGCCGTGGTAGCTCAGTGGGTTAGTGCTGCCTGCCAGGGCCAACTGGTCGCTAGGCCCCCAGTCATCTGCATTTTAGGTTCTAGATCTCTGCCTCTAGAACCTCAGCATAGTGCTCACATGGGAAGATCCCTTTCGATTACTTGATTACATGTTATTTATGTTATGTTATTACATGTTACTGTTATTGCTATTGTGTTACTGTCTATTGTCTCATCTTCTGTCCTATTTATATACTGCACCTGAGTGACTAATGAGAAACACTTTTCATTATACTATGCACCTGTGTAAGTTTAATGACAATAAAGTTGAATTGAAAAGTTGAATTGTCGCTGCTGGTTAGTTTGTGACCAAATGGCAGCTGTTGCCCTTCCTGTTGATCTTGCATCCCTGCATGAGTGCACCAGAGAAGCAGCAACCTGTGCATTAGAATTAAATCAAACCTAGTAATATCGAGGCTTTGCAATTGACCAATTACAACAAACCTGGAATACCTTGCTGAATCCTGGTTGGTGCAGTACAAAATGGACCTTACTGCTCTTCTTTTATGCTACTGTTATCCACACCATCTTGACCTGATGCGATCTTAAGCCGCTTTGGATAAAAAGTGCCTGCCTAATGAATGAAAACATAAAGAGGAGTTTCATTTCTGTCCCTGATTGTGCTTTGTAGATCCCTGGGGGAAACTAGCTGGCTGATCTGACCACGTTGTTTTTTTTTCTTCTCCACACAGGAGCACACAGAACAGGGAACAAGCCCAGGAGTGGCTGCACAGGCTCAACGACCAGTGGGAGCTGCAGAGGTTCCTGCAGGACTGCCATGAGGTAAACTTAGAGTGGCCGATGGCCTCAGGCCGAGCGCTTTGGTTCACACCAGTGCTCACCAGCAGCAGTCGGAGGGCACTGGCCGCCTCTGCTTGAAATGAGAACAAGTAGACAATGCTGGAGGAGACTGCATCAATGTGGAGGGAGACTGTGGCCCAATTCTCCCTCTTGTTGGTTTAGAAAGCTTTCTGTGAGCTCTCTGCTCTTTGCAGGAAGGTAATATAGAGCACATGGAAGGCACTTCAAACCCCATCAGGAGCACAGCTAGGGAGTGTGCATGCTTATTTGCACGCAGCTTTTCTTTTTGTGGCGAATGCTGAAACAGAATGGGTGGGGGTGGGGGAATGATTCTGTTCTTTGAAAGCCAGTTCTGTTACTGGTTGGATCTACGCCATGCACAATTAACCCTGCACCATGCACCCCAGAACTGCTCCGTATGGGATGCTAAATCTGGGTTGCAATGGGACACATTCTCACATTACAGCACTGTTTCAGTATGGGTCTTTCCAGAGGTGCAGGATAAGACATTGAGAGAGGCATTAAAATGTCAACAAATGACTATTGGAACCAGTAACATTTGTTGTGTTTTTAAGTGCACCTTGATGGATTATTTACAATCAAAGATTCTCAAATGCAATGAAAATAATGAAATGAAGTCTGGGGGGCTTTATCGGTTGCTTTTTCAGGTGCAAAAACACTCCGAACACCCCCCGTCTCCCAACAGGCGTTCTCCCCCTTTACAGTAAACAAAGCCAAATTACACAGCTGTGAGAATGAGAAATTCCCAGCCCTTCAGCAATTACCCAATCGTTTATTAACACCCACTGTGGCTATTTATAATGATTGGTGGCCATACTATTTACTGGCCTCTAGTGGCAAGTCAGCTACAGCTGAAAACCTTTCTAAAGCTGGCATGCAACTGTCTTATTTCACTTCTGACCTGATCACAATCTCTGAGGTCCATGTTTATTTTTTCTTGAAATGGAGATGTGATATTTCGTAACAGATAGCCCTGTTGTGGCCCACATAGACCTGCAGTGGCAGGAAAGAAAGCATTTTTTTTAGCTATTCTGCAGACATGTGCAGCTTTACTTAACCTCTATAGATGGTGGTTAACTACTCTCGTACTGCCTGCTTAGTAGCTGGGCTTCTCGGTCCATTGAGGATTCTGCTGAGCTCTCCACCACAACACAGGATAAAGGCATTTTAATCTTCTCAGTCTTGAGCACAGGAGGTTATACAGAGACTTGATACAAAGTTTCCTGAACCATGATTGTATTGATAAGGTCAACCCATTGAATGACTTTATGCGGAGCAGCCAAATAATAACATGTAGACACAGTGGGAGGTTGATGATAAAATATGGAATGGGAAAATTACAGGAATGGGAAGGAGAGGCGCTTACACCTGAGGGTGGTAGGTGTCTGGAACAAACAACCTAGACAAGCTGTTAAAACTGAAACCTTGGATCCTTCAAGAAACATCTGTCAGTACTTAGGTACTGACAATTAAACAAACAAGATGGATCTAACCATCTCTTATCCTTTGCAGCCTTCTTAGGATATTCTTTTTAAATATCCTTTTCCATTCATTGACAGAGTAAATGATTGTCTGTGGTGGTGTCTTAGCGTAGTAAAAATTTCCATTTTGCCACCTTATGTTTTAATACACGTGACTTGACATTTTAATACATTTTGATTGTCAACACCAGCTGTCAATCAATCACACCTGGTTTGAATCGTTTTTCTGACGCACAGCCATGCCTTTATTAAACTTGACCTTGGGAGAGTGCTATTGCACGTGTATAAAAAACATAAATGAAGAGAGCAGACAGCAGCAGTTACTCATTAAAGATTTTGAAACTCCTTGTCCAAACCAGACACAAATGTCTTTCAAAATGTAAATATCTCAAGGCCTGCTTGACTGCTTTTCAATTTCATGTTTTAATGGACCTGCAGCCACAGTTGATTTCATAAAATGTAGTGAGACAGAGACCTTTTTACAAAACAATTCAGTAAGGAAACTTTTAAACACGTTATCGAAGCCACACTCGGTTTCATGGCATTCCCAGTTAAATTATTTGCCCGAGTTCAAACTCTCCTGAAATCTGTGCCGAATGGGAGAGAGAGAGAGGAGACACAATGGGGAGACGCTTAGTAGTGCTGTTAAAGATAGAGCTAAAAAAATAGGTCAAGGTCCCTTTAAATGAAAAATGCTCTAATTCAGTCAGCAAACTGTGAACCATGTGCTCCTTCTCCTCTCATCTTATCTCATTCAGCTGTTTCCCAGTGCTTTTTTTTTTGCTTCGCTCACAGTGCAGTAATTTCAAGTGCAGCGAATTGTCCCTGGTGACGCCCATGAACGACGTAGATTCGCTCGCTCTCAGTCTCTATCGCGCTCTCTCTCTCTCGCTTGCTCGCCCGCTCACTCTGCTCAGGCACTGCAGTGGGAAACTAGGGCTCATTGGATGCTGAAGAGCCTGGCAGCAGCAGCACTAGAAAGCAGGACTGCAGCAAGCGACGACACAGCATGAGAGAGGGGGAGAGAGAGAGGGAGAGGGAAGGGGAGAAACTGATACAGATTTATCGCAATTCCGAGCATCCAAGCGTCTCTTAGCCTGATCTGGAAGAAAACTGGATTCTGAGGAAGAAAGGGGAGGCTGTGCTTAGCCCTCCTGATCCTCGACCTCCTGGTTCATCTACCCCAGCCTGCAACACCCTCCTTCTCTGCCCTTTCTAACCCAGCACTGCCACAACAACTCCCAGCATCAGCACTGCTTTGAAGCACCCTGGACACCTCAGGTTTTTCCCAAATCAAAGCCGGTCCCCAGTCTTGGGGTGACAGCACAGGACAAGATCATCTCTCATCCCATACTGTGTGCTGAGCCATTTTGCTTGCCCTTTTCTTCCCCTTCCTTTCTGACACATCTCGTTGTGGATTAATTTGGGCTTCGCAAACACAAAGGATCTGGGTGTCTACGCGACGCTCAGGAAACCCGTTCAGCAGCTCGATTTGATCTTCTGCTTCTGTTTTCTTGGATTTTCATTTCTCCGAGCTGGGATTCCCTCAGATGGCCTTGTTGGCACCAGCACACCGGCACTGCAGGTGCAGTGATGAAGGCAGGCGAGGATGAGGGGGTTCGGGTTATAACAGGCTTTGTTGTGTGTTGTTTTTTTGTTGAGTTTGTGCCCGGAGCTACAGAAGACAGTGATGATCTACCTTTCTCTGAAAATGGAAGGAGGGGAGGAGAAAAGTTAAGTGGGCTTTTGGAGGACTGGGGGAGATTGAAGAGAGAATAAGGAGGCACAGAAGAGAGTGTGCCCCCCAAGACAAACATAACTGCAGGAAAAGAGATTTGGGGGACAGTTTTGATTTATTATTTTGCAGTTTTGTAGCACCTGGTTTGCAAAAGCCATAGCTCTTTCACTCGCAAGAGGAGATGCAGAAGGCCACCCCCTCAATTCCTCTCGCTCCATTTCTGGGGCGCCCCACCTGAGAATGTCCCAGGACTGCAAGCTCCTGACCCCTGTCTTTGTATCCCCTAGCTGGACGATTGGGTGGCTGAGAAGATGCTGATGGCCCGCGACACATCTCGGGATGAGGCGCAGAAGTTGCACAAGAAATGGCTGAAGCACCAGGCGTTCATGGCAGAACTGGCCCAAAATAAAGAGTGGCTGGAGAAGATTGAGAAGGTGAGCCCGGGACCCAGGGAGCTGAGGCCTGACCGCTCTGGGAAGGGGAGGGGGTGGGTGGGACATTGGCCATGGATGCCTGTGGTTATAAATTAACATTGAGAGCATGCCCTGCTTTTATTCCTACAAATGCTCACGATTGCTCAGCACCTGTAGCCTTTTTGTTGAGATATCTATATTCATTTGTTTGTTTTAACTGGAGTTTGATTACAAACGGGAGCCGATCCTTTTTTTTACATGCTCTGTGGTCTAGAAATGCGATTTCTTTCTAGTGCTAACCTTGACGGTGGTGATGGATGGGTGTGAAATGGATAAATAAACATAGATGTATATAGAGGTCCTGGGCAGGCTGATTCAGTCTGCTGTTCTTTCATTCTGCTCATTGACTAGTTGTGTGAGAATGTATTGATGAGACCTGAAGCGGGAAGAATCTGTTTTCTGTTTTGCTGTAAGGTGTTGTCTCCCTTGAAATGAGAGAAATAGGAAATGTAAAGATAAAGAAAACGATAAAGCCAAAGGAAACGATTTTACAATTGGCTTTCTGGAGGTCCAGTCCTATTAAAACTGACAAACGTCTGATGACTAATGACATCAGTCCAGAGCAGGATTCTGTACCACAAAAAAAAAACAGTTGGATAAGAAGCTGACCTCCTTGGCCCTTTAAGGTGCCCAATAAACTGGATTTTGCCGTGTTAAATAAAAACACAAACAACTTTTTATTTCAACAAAACTCCTCTCCAATACAATTAACATGGTGTTTATTACTTATCAGCAGTAAACATCATGCTGTAACAATTCCTGATCAGCAATGCTTTTTTGATGTTCAGTGGTGAGTCTGAATTTGCTACAGTTAAAAGCAATCATAGCCTCTTAAAATTTCTTAAAAACTGTATCCTGCTTTATTCCTTGGTCTGATTCTCTTAAATTAAAGGATGCAGCAATCAATAACCGCTGTGTTACACTTGCATAGCAATTGGTGTAATGTTCATAAACATAATCACAGTATCCTATAAACATGGCAAAATCATGTGAATATTACCGCAAAATACCAAGCAAATTCATTGTTACAACTTGCTTGCTTTTTGTAAAAAAGCAAGAGTTAAATCAAAACAAGAAAAATAAATAATAAAGTGTCTGGGTTTCAGAGTCACCCTGGCTTGAGCTAATTCAGTCAGGAGCGTTTTACTCATCTTGCAGGGGTGATTTCTACAGCTCTGCCGGGCTAATCCAGGCGGTGATTCTTTTTTCCACCAGCCTCTGATATGAACACAACCGAAAGCAAAACATCCCTTTACAATAAGTACAATATTTCCATTTTGTCTGTAAAAAACAGGAAAATAATCAAAATAAGGCAAATGAAATCACAGGACTTCATCCAGCAGAAGGCTAATATTCATGCCCTAAGGAGGGGACCTGGACACTAGTTCTCCTTCTGTACACCTTTTTCTTTTCTGTCGTCTAAGCCCACCTACATACTATAGATGACAGGGTCATCTCTTTCTACACCCCTAAGCTCTGCAATTCTATTTCCCTCTACCTTCCCTGAGCTCTATCAACCAAGACTCAAAACCTTCTACTTTAGAAGGGCTTTTATTTGACTGGTTCTGGGTCTGGCCCTTTGCTTTCCTACTGTACTGCATATCCTTACAGTAATAGTGTAATCCTGCTGTCTCCTCTACTTGTGTGCTTTTTTCTTGCCACAAAGCACTTTGAGAAGCGACTTTTAAAGGCAATATAAAAGTTTATTATTATTTATGATTTTGGAGGCTCGCTAATCTTAATGCTAATCTTAATGTAGTTGTGCCCTTGGTCTATTTATTTTAAACCACAGAAGTGTGCAAGTATTTAAAACGCAGCCATTACCATAAGATGGTGTTTGACCTGCACTGGATGGCCAGCCTCAAGTCCTTCAGGGTGTGCTGGCCAATCACTTTATTAAGGGTTTGGATTGAATTCTGTGTGTGGAGCTGGGTTGTTTCTACTCAGATGGGGATCTCCCAGGTTTAAACACTCATCTTTTTTTATTGTACCACCTACATGGAAAAAAGGTTTTTACAGTCTGCCCCCAGTCTAATTAAATTTATTAGGGTGCCAAAAGTAAGCACCAAATCAGTTCTTACTGGACTGTCTCATACGGTTAGGCTCTAAGGATGATCTTTAGTAATACAAAATATGTTTTCCAAGAAGGGTAAAGTCTCTGTCAGGATACTTTGTAAAATCTTAACCTTTTGTGCCTCAGAATGTTCAGTTTAATGTATTTTTAGCAAATCATAGTTTTAATATTACAAACTGCCTGATTTATAGTTTCCAGAATCTGTTTTTCAGGAACGTTTCGATTATTGCCAACAGGTGATGAGTCTTACATTGATTATCTCCAAAAGTCCTCATGAAACCTCAAGTAAACAGGCTTTATTCGCATGCAGCTCACTTAAAGCCAAAGCACTGTAGGCTTGTTTCTTTCTAAAATAGTCTGGAAGAACTTGCGGAAGGTTTCCTTTGGAGTGACGTACTGTAGCTTGGCTCATTTGGCCCATAGAGGAGCATCTCACCGGCTGGGCTGGGGAGGTGTTTTATATTCCACACTCAAAGCCTCGAAGCTTCTCCATTTTTTTCATTTTGCTGTAAACTGCAATTGTGTGAAGGTGTGGAGATGGCGTGAATGGGGCACGGCATGGTAAAAATCAGTATCAAAGATTTAATACTTTTAAAGAGTATTAAAGTATGCATGTTTCAATCTGGATACTCTGACAAATTGTGAAGTATGAAGGACAAGCAGTGGTCAACCAGAGAATTGTTTTTCACAATGCCTCATCACTTACTGAGCCACTCTACTGCAAAATGGCTGTTAACCATACACTTGCGCAGTATTGTTAACACTGTGTGGGAGTAGGGTCTTCTTGTTTAACGCCAGTGCAGTTTTATTAATAATTTGGTGTGGGAGTAGGGTCTTCTTGTTTAATGCCAGTGGACATCTCTTCAGAAGTCAGTCTCTTGCTAATGATTGTTCATGTTATCAGCAAATGACGTAGTTCACCAGAAGTGCCACATTGGGTCTTACTGTGTATGTTTCAGTTCTGTATGAAAATATTGATGATCCCACCGTTCTGTTTTGATAACATCTTCAGTCACAGTACTTGATTGAGGTTGATTGCTTTTAATGTCTGGCTGTGATTTGCTGAGACAAAAGTTACATTCTCCTTTAGATCTGGGGATCTCACTTGAGGGACCTTTTTGATACAACCCGTACAACCTCAGGGTTTGCTTGTAACGTTTAGTCAGTGGTGGTGACTCAAACAGAGCTGAACAGTTTTGCAAAGGACTTTGGGAATTGTTTTTCAGGAAATATTTAGATCGTTGCCAACAGGTGATGATAAATCTGATATTGATTATCTTCAAAAGTCCTCATTAAACTTCAAGTAAACAAGTTTTATTCTTATGCAACTCACTAAAAGCCAAAGCACTGTAGGCTTGTTTCTTTCTAAAATAGTCTGGAAGAACTTACTTCTTACTTACTGGAACAAGGCAGCTAAGCCCATCTTGCCCATAGGGGAGCATCTCACCCACTGGGCAAACAGCTGCTTGGGAAGAGATGTTTCTGACCCAAAAGCAATAGAGCACAACAAAAACACAACACAAAAGCAATAGAAACACAAACCTTAATGTAGACTTGAAATGTTTAGAAATGTTTTACTTCTATGCCTCCATACTGCTGAAAAGAAAGGCAAGGTTTGATGTCAGTGGAATTGAGTTTTATTCCCACAGGCCTGCGGTGACTTTTTGACACCTCTGCTCTGAGATGATTAAATGGTTTAATGCCCGATAAAAGCAACAAATTTAACACTCTTCTCTCCAAGTCTTCAAATGCTTATATAGGCACAGAGCCCTGTCACAATAAAATAAAACCAGAAAAGAATTGGCCATTTCATTTATTTTGCGACATCTGTGATTTTGCTATTGGCTTTCAGCGTCTGAGTCAGGTCTTGCATAATGCAACAGACTGAACTACCCGGTGCCATTGTGTCCGGACTAATATTTTTTTTTAACTAAGAATGGGCCACTTAAAGAGATCAGAAAAATAACAGGGAGATTAAGTTGCAAGGAAAACCAAGGGTACCAGACCTTCTCCAGGGAAGACACCCCTGTTCCATCTTCTGTCTTCTAAAAGGCAGACCCCTGCTTGCTCAGGGAGCAGTTCCGGTGGTGTACTAGGGTGTTTGTACCTTGTATTAATATTTCGGACTGCCACGAATTGTCCAGGCTGACCTTGTTCGAAGTCCCGCAAACAGCTGACAGTTCAAATTCTCCTGAAGTGTAGCATAGCCTGAAGCCCTGCGGAACAGTGCCTGTGCATGCATGTCCTTAGAATTCTGGATTTCTTTTCCTAAGCGGAATGACCTACAGTATGCCAACTGAAGCTTAATCCACCCGTCTCAGAACGCAAAGTGGGACAGAGGCCACATGACTGCTCACCACCCTGGGGTGGGATTTCTGTCCTCCAAAAGGCCTCTCACAAAAGGGGCCAGCTCACAACAGCCAGTCGAACCTAGCCAGTGTGTCCTTGGAAGATGGCAGAAAACTGGAATGGCTGACAAAAAAACAACCCCAAGCAGTTCTCAAGAGAACTCCACACAGACAGATGCCAAAGGCCAGAATTCCAGGATCACAGAAGTATGGGGCAATTTTCTTAAGTGCCTTTGCTTTTTAAGAACTGTCATATTCACACACAGTCATATGTATTAGCACAGATGTAAGGTTTTTTTTCCCCAAAAATAGATATTACATATAGAATACCTTTTTCACAGTAGCATGATCAGCAATGACTTCCAAGAGGCATACTTTCCTCCTGATGAAGGCCTGAAGGTACTTCAGTGATCTGAATACTTGTGCTTTAAAGAGATTCTGTGGTTGACATGGCCATCTGAGTTAAGACTTGCTCATCACATCACCTTACTGTATATCCTGTACTGTGCTGTCTGACCAACTGCATCAAGAAGCTTTCAGTGAGTCCTTGACATCTTAAGCTCGAAAGGCTCAGAAAGAAAGTCATTATTATAAACCGGTTTATTTCCTCCTTTAGGTTAAAGCAGGTTTTACCAGTGAACCTTGTTAAAAAACTGCGTAAACCCTTTCAGGCTACAATGACAAAATAATTTGCCGTCTATGTTTATTCACATGCAAGGACACGGCTTTTGCTCCAATGATTGCTCTGCACTCCCTTGAAGTTCTATTCTGTTACAGAATTGTAAAAAAATAACACTGCCGTAGGGCAACTGTGAGATTTCTTATTCACACTCTGTGCTGTTTTTTCCCATTTTTCAAGCTATTGCAAAGGTTACCAGTTTCTTAAAAGACGAGCATGGCTGGCGTTTGAACACCCAGCTGGCTCTGTCCTTGACACCTCGGCGTGCTGTATCTCACCCAGGGGCGGCTCCACTGAGGTTTATATTTGTGAAAGCGTTAAGACCCAGCACAGATTTTAGGTTGGGCGATCGGTGAGGTGTTCAGTAGCCTTGCGACGTTTGTTATGTTTCATCCTGCTGCATATTGTCACCGTCCTGGAAAAGCAACCGTGGGTCCTGCGCCTCTTTTTGGTGCAATCTTTTTGTCACCCGCGAGAACAAGAATAACAACAAAAAAAAGGACCCCAGCTTTTTGCAGCATGATCTCCTAATTCTGCTGGCTCTGCAGTCTCACGGAGCAGCAGCAGCAGCAGCACAGCTGAGACAGGAAACCTGGAGCTGGGGTGGAAAGAATGCAGCTCGCTCATTATATAAGCAGTGGATCGAGTTCCACGATCACCTCTGTGCGCATTCGGTGAAATTTTTTTCTGATGAGCAAAACGCACTCTACTGTGATGGGTGCAACGAATAGATTGGGAATGAAAGAGGTCAGTCTTGCATGAACTCCAGTTTTCATAAGACAGATGTCACAACATTATTGCACACTGCAAGATACCATTCATGCACAAGGAATGGTAACATGCCATCCTCGTGTCAGCACTGTTGATTACCTGGTAAGAAGATGGTTTGATTTGAGACACATACCTTTAACCCCCATTTTAAACTTGAAAACCCCACGGAGCAAAAGCATTAAAAGGCACAATGATGAGAGTTATGATTAAACCTTCACTCCTGCCGACACAAACGGCTTAATTAATTAAAACGATAGGTTGCACATTAAATGATGCCGCCCACGTGTGCAACGGTACTAAGCAGTGGGGAACATTTAGAAAAAGAAGGACATTTGTGAGATGGAAAAATTGGAATGTGTAGGTGAAAAAATATTCTAAAGTGGTTATCACAAGTGTGGACATATTCAAATTATGTTAATCAAACATGGATAAAGATATCACCAGGAAACACAAGTGACTGGATAATCAGTTTTCCCCCAGTAAATCTTTTCCCTAACTGACTTGACTTGAATATTTTTTTAACAACTCATACCAGTGAAGACTATCATCTCCTGTATTTATGTGCATGTGTGGGTTTAGAAATATTAAAAATATCTGAGATAATAATAACTGATAAATATCTGAGGTTTTTGTAACTATGTTCTATTAGGGAACTCATTTGTTCCTTTAATGTGACTAAATAATCTTTTCTGCATGTACTGCAAGCATTTTTTTGTATGTGTTTAAGAAGCAGGACAGTATAAAGCAGAAACTCTACTGATAAACATTCAGACCAATCTTAGCAGGCTTCATCTACCAAGATATTAATCGCAAAAACATATTTGGCATTGCGACATTTGCTCAAAAATATTTCTCTTCTTTGTAATCCTCCACAGGTTCTATGCATCTTAACAAAATATCGTAAACGTAGCCCCTTGCCTCCTGATCACTATGTTCCACACAAAGATGACAACCTAGGACATAACAGCTGTTTAAAGGCTGAGAAGTGACTCCACGTGCTGCCCATGGTCTGAATTACACAAATACTGACATGATGTGCTAGTGGTCACTTTATTTATGTTTGCTGTAGACCATCTGTAGGCCTTCAGTCTTGGAATTGGCTGAGAAAAGCCTGTCATAAATAATATCCCGTCTTCCACCCAGTGTCCACGCGTTGTGGCATGAATTCTATTTCAAGAGCTTGGCATGCTGCCACAGGACTCTTGAACAGAAAAGGAGAAGTAAAAGCTTTCTTAAATGTTTCAAAGATTTTTCTTATTCAGACTGTTTGTTGATTGTCGAAATTAAACAAATCCACCATGATTATTTGGCCGGCATCCTTGTCTTGACCACAGATAATAAGCCATTAGAAATGCAGGCTCTCCAGCCGGCAAGGTTTGCCTGCGATGAGGCTGCTTGCAAACTTCAGCAGATGAAGGCAAAATGCCCGATGCTTTTTTTATGGAATGCCTGAAAACTCTGTCCGGCTATCAGCAAGCTAAATCAAACATTCAGCTTTTCTACAATCAATTTCAAGAGCACAGTTTCAGTCATGGCCAGCCCGATGTGGCATCAGATGAAAATGGGTTTCAAAGATGGGGCAGATGATATTCAAGTTTCTCCTTCCACCCTGTCTATGTTCCACCAGGAGGGCCAGCAGCTGATCCAGGAGAAGCCGGAGTTGGGCGCCATCGTACGCCGGAAGCTGGAGGAGATCAGGGAGTGCTGGCTGGAACTGGAGAGCACCACACAGGCCAAAGCCCGCCAACTCTTTGAAGCCAACAAGGCCGAGTTGCTGGTGAAGAGCTACAGCGACTTGGACCAGCAGCTCTCACAGCTGGAGGGCCAACTCACCCACCTGGATCAGGGCAGGGACCTGACCAGCGTCAACAAACAGCTGAAGAGGCTCCAGGTCTCTCCTCCTTTCCCACCCCCTCATTATCACATCATTTTCTTAAATAAACCGTTCTACGTTTGGGCAGCACACAGATAACGCACTAGTTGGAAAAACACAGCGCAGAAAATTTTATTTGTAAAGTTCAATCTAAGTCCACTATGAAAAAACAATAATGGGGCAGTAATGAAGGCCGACATAGATGTGCATTAAATTTGATACCTGTGCATGTAGTCTGCTGGGTGGATACGTGGTCACGATCCTCAGTGATCAGGATCATTAAAAATGAAAAACATCACGCAGTGATCGCCCCCTCACACATACAATATTTAATTTTGTCTTGAAAAATACCAGCTCATGTCATAGCATGAGCAGCTCTCAGATACAGGGCTTGAAACAGGAGCACCAAACAATGCACTTGCCAGCACAGCAGTGTCTACCAGCTCAGCCCTGTGCATCACGAAGAGCCTGAAGCAGACGCCCTTCGTGGATGACCAATTTTTAGATTGGTGTCAGCATTGTAGCAAACATGGAGAAGTGCGCTGTCCTTGGAGGTGCTCTTTTTAGGGTGGCAGGCGTTCCTCACAGTTGCATGATGAGCCTTCCCGGAGAGAGACCTTTAGCTAGGGATGCGAGTAAGACCAGGGCTAACACAATCTTTCCTTGTGGTTTATAAAATGTTGTTTTTCCTAAAACCTTGCCTTCAAAAAATGTATGTAGCGAGAAGGAACTAGCTTTAACTTTTAAGCCGGTGTGCTCTGCTAAAGACTTGCACAAAAACCTTCTCCAGCACATCTAATAAAAGCACACGGCCAAAAATGACAAAACAATGAATGGGTGCCGAGTAACTATGGCACACAGGGTGAATGCTTTTAAGCATCACAGACTCTTTGCATTCTTTGTGAAAACAAAACAGAACGGATCCTTTACAAATACAAAGCCATCTCTTATTGTGTGCGGTTCCCAGAGGCTGTTATAGATGCCCTGATGCATGGTGATGTAAAGCATGCCAGTGAGCCTGCAGCAGAGCCAGGAAGGGGATTAGTGTTGGACGAGTGTCCTGAGCGGCGTGCACATCCACCGCATGTCTGTTTTGACCGACCCAGCGAGATCGGTCAAACGCCTCTTTTGGTCAGGAATGGTCTAACCCCCAGTTTGCTTCCTCGGGACAGCGCCAGGGCCCGAACCCCGCGGTCCGCAAACAACCAGATCTTCATTTCATGCATTTTCATTCTCCTTTTTGACAGCATGCTGGTGCTTGAGCTGCTTTGAGTTCCTTTACAGCCTCGCATTGTGGTTTGTATCAGTGCCACCCAGCCACCTCCAGAAGGGGTACAGTAGTCTTTTCATTTCATGTCATTCGCTCTCCCGCGCTTTGTCTTTTTGGTCTTATTTTACAAAGGGGGAGCTTCTCCTTCCTCACTCACCCAAACACTCCTTCTCTCATCCTGCTCTCCTTTATTTTTGTTCCTTTCTTGCCCCGGGGATAAGTAATTGCCTCAATTACTGAGAGTGTCAGTCTTATTTCCTTTGAAATCCATATCGAAATGTCACGTGTTTGTCCAGACAGGCCAGTATTAATGTTCCTCACTGTTTAGCTGTGATACACATTCGATATGGGATGAAAGGGAAATCTGGCTATGAAAAAGGAATAATGATCAGGTTTGCAAATACCTGCTTCATGTATTCTCTTGTGTGTATTTTTATGTGGTTTTCTTTCTGTCTGACCCCTCTGCATTTTGTTATTTTTGCACATCAGGTTGCCTTGAAAGCAAATGAATTTCTTCAAAAGAAATTCAACTGCACACAGATGCATCAGAGCAGATGGTGTTTGTGTCGACTCATATTAATGTTCAGCCTCAACAAATTGAGGCTTCCTCTCGCATATACACAGATAGCGTGTGGGCTTCATCGCCCCACTGTTTTGCCTCATAATTCCGATTTCCCTCTTTTTCCACACACATGAAGAACACCCACACCTTAAAAGTTTATTTTACTCTTCATAAAGAGCGGAACAGAAAGCTATTTTGGTCAGACACTCAGATACTTAAACTACAAGTCATCAAATATGCCAGATGGCCATTCAAGCTTCCTCTCAATCCTAAATCTTTTTATGTTCTTTAAGTTTCTAGAGCTTTTCATATCTCCATGCCTATTTCACAGGAACAGTTATACAAAGAAAGGTTATGCGTGACGAATGTGGAATGCAACGCCTCACACGTGCCTGGCTGTCTCTCTCTCTCTCGGTTTCTCTCCTGCATTCTGCCTCTGTGCTCTCCCAGAGCATGGAGAACCACATGGAGGAGTGGTACAAGGAGGTGGGCGAGCTGCAGGTGCAGGCCGCTTCCATCCCCCAGCAGGGGGCGGTGAAGGAAAACGTGGCTGACAAGCAGAACGTGGTGGAGACCCGGATCGTGCGCCTCATCGAGCCGCTGAAAGAGAGGAGGCGCATCCTGCTGGCCTCCAAGGAAGTGCATCAGGTCAGCCGGGACCTGGAGGATGAAATAGTGAGTCGCTTTGATTCCGTTCCTGTCCCCTCAACGCCACCCCGCCCTTCGCTGCTGACTTTGGGATGAGCCTGCTTTGAATTTTACACTCCCAGGAGGCGCCAGACGTCAGCAGTGACATCATGACCACGAGGCATTTGTGTGGAAAAGCATATCAGAAAGCTTAAAGAGCTTCACCGATTGTCTTTCTTTTGTGCTTTTACAGATTTGGGTTCAGGAGAGGCTGCCAATGGCCACTTCCAAAGAGCATGGAAACAGCCTTCAAGCAGTGCAACAGCTCATGAAGAAAAACCAGGCAAGAGCCACCCTACCCTCCTCCTTCTATATTTTGACAGCTTTGTTCCAACATTGTCACCTAATTTCGTCAGATCTCAGAAACCAGAGAAGGTTAGGTTTGTTTAACATCTCCTTCAAAATACAGGGAAGCTGTTCTTTGAATGAGATGTTAAACCAAGGTATTGACTACTTGGTCAATAAAGCCCCCAGGGGGCTGTTTGAAAGAGAAGGGATCTTAACTACAGTGTCCAGGCTAAACTCCACTTTGGACATGGGTAATCTGGCCTCTACAACAGCCCCCTGTGTCACCCAGCCACTATAATCCAACTGGTGAAGTTATTTCTTCCTCTTCCACATGACCTTCTATGCAGTGGGGCTACTGGTGCGAAATGACAGCACATACGTCACTAGCAGGGGTTCTGCTCTTCAGGTGCAGATAAAGTGGATTCCTATGTGTGTGTAAAGCTCTTTGGGTTCCATTGGGTTGAAAAAGAGTTGTTCTGAGGGCACACTTTCTGAAACACAAATGCCAGCATTATGACCCAAAGCCAGCTTCCACAGCAAAGATGTTCCTTCCTATCGTTGCTTGACCAGAGGAGCTTTTCAAAGCTTCTTCCTGTGCTGAAAATGTTTGCTTACAATTTTCCAGCAGCCACCCCTGACTGCCGCAGTTTGAAGATACAATTCTAGCACGAGACAACTTGGTTGTGTGGGAATTATTTCAGTGCGGATCTTTCATTGTATTTTATTTGGAAGTGGGAGAAGAGAAGAAACTCTGTTGTAAAGCACTTTCTTGTACAAGAGCCTAGCTGGGCTTCCCTCCAAGCCAGTATTGGTGACAGTCGATAAGGTCACCTCCAGCCTCAGACATATCAGTCTCCAGAAAGTGTAGGAACTGCATTCCTGGTGGGTAAGGCTGGCCTCCTTTATGGATTTCTATATGATTCTATATCAGAGTCTGCAGCGTGAGCTCCATGGCCATCGGGCACGAATAGAGGACGTGCTGGAGAGGGCGGGGCTCATCGCTTCCATCCGCAGCCCGGAAGCCGACTGCGTGCGGGCCAGCCTGGAGCACCTGCGGATGGTGTGGGACGCCCTGCGCATGGAGACGGAGAGGCGCCAGCTGACCCTGGACGCCATGTACCAGGCGCAACAGTACTACTTTGACGTAACCGAGGTGGAGGCCTGGCTGAGCGAACAGGAGCTCCACATGATGAACGAGGAGAAAGGCAAGGTAAGAAGTGGACTGGAGCACTTCGTGTTGGAATCTTGGTGCATTTGCATCGAGACGGATCAGGAAGCCCATGCCTTCATTTCCCACGGCCTTGTGCCAATGTGGCTGGTCAATGCTGCTGTCCGTGTTTCCCTTCAGAAACGTACATAACTAACATAACAGTATGTGGCAAGTTTAAAGAAGCTGTTAAGGGAGAAACTCGAAAGAACAGTGAATGCAGAGCGTTCCTGTAGAAAGTTCCTGGAAGGTCAATTGGGCTTCTGAGAAACCCACGGAGCTTTCAAACCAGTAGAGGATGCTGGAAAATGGCAAGAAAATGGTTTCAGTGATTCTTTTTTCAGGAAAAGCTTTTCATTCACCCCACCAGCAACAACACTCAAGCGTTCAAACCTTCACCCATTTAGAGGTTGGCATAGTTGGTTTCAGCGTGTTTATTTTTTTTAATCCCAGGATGAACCCAGCACCCTCCAGCTGCTCAAAAAGCACCTTGTTGTGGAACAGACCATCGAGGATTATGCCGAGACCATAGGCCTCCTCTCTCAGCAGTGTAGGCAGCTGCTGGAACTGGGGCATCCAGACAGGTAAGCCCATCCTCCATCATTGCAGACCCCTGGGAAGGCCATAAGAAAGGTGTTTTGACTTTAAGTCCCAGCAGTAGTCTTGCAGTGACACATTAAAAATCCAGGAAGACATCATTCTCCAAAAAAATACATGAAATGGAGTTTATAACAAACGTTCGGGAGGGATAACAAGAACCAAGTTCAATCAGACTTAGCTGTCAGTAATTTGTAATCACCCCTGACATCATTTCCTCCTCTGCATGAAAAGATCTTTTTGCATCCCACCTCCACCTCATCTTCACCTCTGCAGCTGCTCCTTGGTCACTTCTCACTCTGTCTGGGAGGATGAGTCTCCTTGTCCTGTGGCCAAGAGATTAGCCCTAAGGCAAGCAGGTTAAGTTAAAATTCTTCTGGTGAAGAGCTCCAGCAGCTCTACATTTCTTCTTTTCTTATAGAGGGGCCTTCAGCTGCAGAGCTTTCTTCAAATTTCTCCTGGGTCAGACAACTCCTTACAAAAGAGCTCACCAAAGTTTTCTTCACTATTAAAAACTAGTCCCAAACTCAAAACATGAGTACTCTGTGGGTGACAAGGCCTTCTCCTTTAATGCCACAAAGCTCTGGAACTCTATCTCCAATGATATCAGAAAGTCACCTTCTCTAAACTCCTTCAAATCCAGACTCAGAACCTTCTTCTTTAGAAGAGCCTTTACTTAACTGGTTCTGGTCTTTACCATTCAGCTCCTACTGTATTCAGTACCCCCATCTACTGTCTGCTCTCATTGCGCATATCTTGTGTATTTTGTTGTTGTTGTTATTCTGTAAAGTGCTTTGAGAAGCCACCTTTAAAGGCGCTAAGTTGATTATAAAACATTGCTGCATGTAGACAACCTCCATCTATTTTCTGATTCTTAAAAGACTAGATGGCTAGTTCTTTTCACAGCTCAGAGTAAAACCAGGGGAAGACGTGCGATTTTGGCAGTTGAGATGTGTTGAAGTCAACCCACTTAAAAGGCTTCCTCTCCTCCGCACTCTCGGGTCTCTCCGAGAAGCGAGCAGATCAGCAAAAGGCAGTCCCAGATCGACCGGCTGTACGTCTCGCTCAAAGACCTGGTGGAGGAGCGCAAGTCCAGGCTGGAGCAGCAGTACTGGCTGTACCAGCTGAACCGAGAGGTGGACGAGCTGGAGCAGTGGATCGCCGAGCGGGAAGTGGTGGCCGGGTCCCCGGAGCTTGGGCAGGATTTTGAGCACGTCTCGGTGAGGAAGAGACTTGGGGCAGCAGTGGGGAAGGCAGCTGGGGGACATGGGAGTTTGCATGAACGATGGTGCAGCGTTGGGCAGTCCTTGGATTGGACCACTCTAGATTCTTTGCAACAGAGGGCCTGAAGACTAAGAATTGCTTACAATCCCTGGAAACATCAAAAGGCACACGTGCCTATAAAAGTTCACTTTTTTACAAAACTTTTGTTTTAATATCCCAAAATGTATATTTTATAAAAATTCACAGATACGTGTCATTTGCAAGGGTTGACCTGCCCTAGATCCAGAGAGTCAAAGGATTAGATCCTGTGTTAAATTTATTCAATCCCCTAACAAACTCAGTCAATGGGATAAATAAAATGGTTTATATTTGTTCCAGGTATTAAGAAACAGCTAAATCACGCAGATTTGAAGATCTCTAAAACATATACAGCTTTATAGGAATCAAGGAAATTTGTAATCTCTTCACATTGTTTATTTCAAAGTGATGTTGCGCACAGCACTACAAGACATGAATATCTTTAGTCATAAATAGTGATGACTGGTAACGTATATGAAGGTTTCCTAATTTTCCTTAGATGTCAGAAGTAATCGAGGAGTTGCTTAGCTTGTAACACATTGAAAATTGAAAATTCTTCTTTACATAAAGTTTAGCAGGTGTCTGGAATTATTTTTGAATGATTGATTGTTGGAGCTGACAAACAAGAAATGTCAGGATACAAGGATCAGTTAGTTTCCAATCTACAAGTAGGATGATCCAAACGGCCTCATCACATTTTTTTAAATTGTTTGTGTGATACCTGAACAGGAACATAGAATGATGAAAATGTGGTTCGGCCGAGGACTGTATTCTATACAGTACTAATGCGCATTATGATCAAGCATGTGAAACAACAGCTGGAATGTAATTAACGTTACAGATGGTGCTCAGCTAAATAGCAGGCGTTATAAAAAGGAAGGTGATGGGAGCCATTTTTATTAATGAATGTATCATCACCTACTGGTCTGTAGGGACATTACTTCTCTCCGATTTAGTTATTTAATGGGGTTTTTGAAGGCCACCATGCATTCATCCAGAAATAAAGAGACCTCCTTAATAAAAGCACACACTGAATGCAACCTCAAATAAATGGTACCACTGGGGTTCTGGAGCAGAAGATCTATTATCAGTGCCCCGCTGTGCAGCTATAAACCACTCAACTGACAAAGGGCTCTGCTGACCTAGGAGAACCGTAAGGTTTTACTGTGGCAGTATCACACAGAAGCACTGAGCCACGACCCCCCATGAGACATCCCTGAGAGAGGGGTAAGAGAGATGGGGAGCAGTCTGAATAAAATCTTTTTTTTTCTTTTTATTTGAATGAAAATGAAGAACAAGTAGTGGAAGAGCGGATTAACATTCTGGCTTATTAACGAGGGTTCACTGATGCATGAAGCGATCTACTGGGAAACAGGCTGGCACTGGACAATGAAGGCAGCACCCCCCCCTGTATAGACACCTCCTAGACGGGTGTCGGGAGATTTAGAGAGGATTAACCAGATTTTGCATTTTAATTTTGAAGAAGCCATTTAGATTTAGTCTTTGGGTGAACTCTGAAGGCAAAAGCAGCCACTTGGTTTTAGGACTCATTGATACAAATTACGACAGATAGAGAGACCTCCCAGTTCCTGGCCCACTACTAGGGCCCATAATACATAAGCATATAATACACAAACACATCCAATCTAGAAGATGAGAGGCCGTTGATGGTCTTTGATGAAAACAAACATAAAATCTACTGCAGTCCCTCATTTGCTCACAGTAAAATACCAGACAAAAACTTAACATCTCATTATTGTTAACTTTGTGAATGCATGGTAAAAGCTCCAGTCCCCCTCTGCTCCCACTTTTCGCTTAGATCCTGCAGGAGAAGTTCACAGAGTTTGCCTCGGAGACGGGCAACCTGGGGCAGGAGCGCGTGACGGCCGTCAACCAGATGGTGGACGAGCTGATCGACTACGGCCACGCGGACGCGGCCACCATCGCCGAGTGGAAGGACGGCGTGAACGAGGCCTGGGCGGACCTCCTGGAGCTCATGGAGACGCGGGCACAGATGCTGGCTGCCTCGCACCAGCTGCACAAGTTCTTTGCCGATTGCCGTGAGGTACACCGTGCCACCACCTTCTTCTTTAGTTTTGTTTCCGCTTTCAGAACTCTGCCGGAAGAACGGGCAGCCTTTTCACGCAGATAATGTAAGTGACAGCGTCGTCACAAAAGGGGACAGACACTAAAACAGCACAATTCCACTGTATATGGTGGAGCCCGTTTTAATGTGGCCAGGTTCTATGAACCTGTATGTAGGCATATATAGGCCTTCGACCATACATTAGAATCAGCCCCATCTCAAAGGCAGTTCAACTGCAGTTGTCAACACTCGTGCTGTGAGACACTAAACGAAGACCGGTCCTATTGAACTGTAGGTGCTGGCACAGATTGAGGACAAGCAGAAGAGGCTTCCTGAGGTGCGGGCACGACAGGGGGGCACTGCCAACACCAGCACCCTCCAGAGACTCATGCACAACTTTGAACATGACATCCAGCTGCTCGTCACTCAGGTGAGGACACAGAGGCAGCATTTAAGTCATCTCTGCCAGAGGTTTTTTATTCTTTTATCTAGGATGAACACTTAAATCATGTCCAATTCCTGTTTTTTTTAACCAAATTCCCAATCCAGACCAGTCCCACCCCTTGTATATATCAACATGATGACCTACACAGGAAAGTACCACTGTTTCACAAAGGAGTAGACTTGTGCTTGTTATCTGATCATGAAGGCGTCGGATCATTCTTGATCATGCTGGATCATTTCATTGAGCAGTGAATGAAACTTAACCCGGTCACGATTCAATGAAGAATGAATGTAACTGGAAAGCCAGTTCTGTGGATTGAGAGAGAATGACAGAGGTGTGGCAGTCCAGTCATCAGTGACAACATTAGCTCAGCTCTTTGCGATCTGGGCTCTGTGAAAAACTCGGTCGTCGTTCTGGAGGCTGTGTATGTATTTTACCCCACGTATCTCTGCGTTGTCAGCCCCGGAGCTGTAAAAGCAAGCCCAGTTGATGCTCAGTCCTCACATGTTCTTGCCTGTGGAGCAGGTGAGACAGCTGCAGGAGAGCGCGGCGCAGCTCCGCACGGTATACGCTGGGGAGAAGGCCGAGGCCATCGCGGGGAAGGAGCAGGAAGTGATGCTGGCCTGGAAGGAGCTGCTGACCTCCTGCGAGGAATGCCGGGTGCAGATCACCACAACGACGGACAAACTGCGCTTCTTCGGCATGGTGCGGGACTTGGTCACGTGGATGGATAGCATCATCTGCCAGATAGGGACCAAGGAGAAGCCAAGGTAGGCTAATCAAGGGGACCTATGGGCGGACTAGTATTTAAAAGCCGCAAAGCAAGAATCCAGCAGGATTTTGCGTTTGAACTTCTGTACATTCAATTGCTTTCATCAGCCACTAAAGCTAGGCCAATGCTTTTTATCAGCAGCTCAGAAAATGTATTTTTGCTCATATGTGAGCTAGAATTTAATATGTTGATTATGTAATATCAAATATTGACTCTTTACATAAGAATCTGGCCCAAAACCTTACATTGTAGTTCTTGGGAGACAGGTTTAGAATTCTGCGTGATTTTCATGGGAGATTTAGTGCTATAAAACCTTTTTCACCTGTACAATACAGTACAGATTTCCAAGTCATGCTCCTTATACCCTGCAAAGGTAACCCTGGACTGCCAGTGCATCTGCAGGTTTTGATGAACTAATTGAACTAATTGTTGGAGAACCTCAAATGCCTTTTCTGGTTCTTAACATGTCGCTAATGCTGTTAGAGACAGTCTTTGAGGACTAGAGCTGGGAAACCAGCTTCTCAGTAATCCCTGCATGAGGGCAGAGGGCGATGAAATGAGGAGGTGGATCTCTGGCCGTTTCAGGGATGTCTCCTCCGTGGAGGTGATGATGAACTACCACCAGAGCCTGAAGAGTGAGATCGAAGCGCGCAGCAGGAGCATGATGCAGTGCGTGGAAATGGGCAAGACGCTCCTGGCAGCCAGGAATCCGGCGGCAGAGGAGGTGATAGCCATCTTTCCCCTGCCGTTGACAACCGGTCTCCCCTAAATCCCACCACTTGCCCCTGGCGACACACAGTGCCATACACTGGGCATGCTGAAGCATGAATAGCAAACTGAAAAACAAACAGGGAAGGGAGCTGTAAGACGAGGGGTTAACAGTGCTCTTAAGAAAGATTAACTAGTGAACATGGTAATAAACCATTTGGCTATTTTTTAATTTTCCCTCAGCAATCGTGGACTTTACTCTACATAAAGGACTTTTTAATCATTTGAACGTAGACGTCACTTGAAAATAACTCCTTTACCAGGAGGACCCACTTATCTGGCAACAGCAGAGCGTTTTACTGAGGCACCTTGAGAGAAATTCCTTTTATCAAAGGCACAAGAATAACAATCCATGTGGGGGTTGAACCCATGATCCTACAACCCTAACCTCTACTCGACACTGCTGCCAGACATAAAATTCGATTTTTTTTTTTAACAAAAACAAGTCATTCATACCCAGTAATCCTTTGCACCTTGCCTGAAAATCAAGGCCGCATGGAGGTATCTCACAGCTCTGACATCTAGGTGAGATTCAGGACAGGGACAATGTTTACATTCCCCCGGCATGTGTGTGGGTTTTCTCCAACTGCTGCTCCAGAAACATGCTGGAAGGTTAACTGGTTGCCACTCTAAATTGTCTATTGTGAGAGGAAGGAAGCTGGGCAGTAATCTAGCCTGTCAGGAGTGACTCAGATTCCCAGTACACATTCCTGCAATACAATCACTAAGAACAGGCTACTTGCTCTCTCTGTTTATATAAGATGTTCAAGTGACTAAGAGATAAGGTAGAGATCTGCAATTGAGTAGTTTTTGTATTGATATGGGACAGCTACTGTATATCGTGACCAGGCAAATCTGTAACCTGAGGCTAAGTGTCACCTCTGTCTTTTTCAGATCAAGGAAAAGTTGGATAAGCTCATCTCAAAGCAGAAGGAGCTCTCTGAGAAATGGGATAAGCACTGGGAAACGTTGCAGCACAGTGAGTACGCCCTCTTGCTCTTGGGTGGAATGTTTCAAAGGTTTGGACATTTTAGAAACAACTGATCTGTCACCCAAACAAGGCAGCGGGTACGACCTTTTGATACAACTGGCAGCAACGTCCCAAGGGTCACAGCGATTTTGTGTGTCAATGGTACAGCTAAAACCTCTAGTGTGCCTCTCCATGCTTGACTATTCCTGATTAGAATTTTATTGTGCTTGTCTTATTATCACGGTGTGCCACAGGCTCACTTCTAGAAGACTGGAACCTTGATTTTTTTAATGCACAAAACCCTTTCTGAGGACGTGCGTGTTGCTCCGCAGTGCTGGAGGTGCACCAGTTTGCCCAGGAGGCCGTGGTGGCGGAGGCCTGGCTTACCGCCCAGGAGCCCTTCATCAGCAGCCAGGAGCTGGGCAGCAGCGTGGACGAGGTGGAGCAGCTCATCCGCCGGCACGAGGCCTTCCGGAAGGCCGCCGCCACCTGGGAGGAGCGCTTCAGCTCTCTACGCAGGCTCACCACGGTACGGGCTGTGAGACCCCTCTCCTGGGGGGCGCATCTCTGTGGTTTCGCTTTAATTCAGCTTCTTCTTGCTCTGAATCTGTCACTTCAAAAGGTCCCACTTTGCTCTGTCCACTTTAATTGCATAATAAGATCTAAACGATGATCCTCGGTTGCATTGGCGTTGGCATCCATTATGAAGCACTCTCTAGTGGGGGCTGTGCTGCTCAAACACACACACTTGTGTTAGAGAAGATTTATTGGAGCTAGAGATTGGACTTCTTTATGTGCTGGAGCAGTAATCTGGAAAAGTCATACATTCACACAATCACCAGGGGTCACGATGCAGCTGTGCGAGTCAAAATCTTTGGATGATTTTCTGGGCCATTCAAAACAAGGATTACTGCATGCTGCTGATGTCCTTATTCTTTTCCTCAGGTGGAGAAGCTAAAAGCAGAACAGGGCAAGCTGCCTCCAACGCCTCTGTTGGGACGCAAGGTGTTCCTAGATCCCCAGGAAACCTCCCCTGCTCGGAGCGCTAGCTCATCGCTGTTGCGTCACACCATCTACGAGCAGATCGAGCCAAGACTCGAGCGGCCACCGGAAGCCACTTCCTCCGTGGCCCGGAGGCTGGGCTCCACTGTCGCTTCCTACACACCGGTCATGAATGGGGTGAAGTATGGGACCAGCCTAGACCACCGCAGCGAACCTAAGGTAGCCTACGTCCGGCAAGAGTTGAAGCCCGAGAGACTGCGGCCCAAAATCGACAACCTCCATGACGGGCTGAGGCCCGCGTTGGAGGTCCGGCCGCAGGAGAAAGACAGGGAGACGCCAGGTCCAGCTGAGGTGACCCACGAGCCTGTGCTGGAGATCACCGACGCATCTCAGGTGCCACATGGGGAACCTCGGGTAAGCCGCTCGGACCCCCAGGTGGACCACTACTACAAACGGGAGAGGGAGCGCAAGCTGGACCGGCAGACCTCCAGTGAACAGGAGATCCAGGCCAGGCGAGACGAGCTTCCGTTGGAGATCCGCAGGGAGCGGTACGAGAGGCGGCTGGAGAGGCAAACTTCCAGCGAGCAGGAGGGCCAGGCGCACCAGGAGCGCAGACGGGACAGGCACAGGCTAGAGAGGCAGGAATCCAGTGAGCAGGAAACGACTCGGGAACATTCGGACAAGCGTTCGGGAGGGTGAGTTGAGAACCGGCACTGCAGCGACAGCCCGACTAGCTCATCGCGTAAGAGGACTGTCTGCATCCATTACGAGGAGCGGTTCATTCCGTAATGACTCCCAGATGGAGAGGGCTCTGCCATGTTCCAAAAGGCAGCTTCGATATAGAAATGACGGTTATAACAAAACACTTGGTTCATAATGGAGAACAGTGAAACGTTTGTTTGTGGCTTGGTAGCAGTCATGCAGAAGGCTCTTTATATCATGGCTATGAGATGAGAGAATAGTGGGAAAAGTGGCTAATATCACTGTTTAAATGCTCAAACAGAATGGCCATTTAACGGGATACACGCAGACAGAGTACTGAAAGAAATGTCTCAAAATAAATATAAAAAATAGCTCAGTCCATCACGACTGCTTTTAGTGTGGGCTCTACTTAGGTGCAGCCAACATGAAACTAACTCTGTGCTTCTGCCGCAAAGATCTGCCTTAAGACTGCCCTAGACCCGTGTGTTGATGGAAATGAATCTGTGCTTGCAGGGAGAAACGATCCACACTGGCGGATATTGTGGAGCAGCTACAGGAGAGGGAGGCTGCTCAGGCCCAGGTGAGCCCATGAGGGTTTATTACAGTATTCACTCTCGGGACGTGTATTTCAGGCCTTTCAGTGTGAGCAGTCATCTTGGGCAGTCTGAAAAAATTATTTTGGCTATTTCTCCTCTTTTAAAAAGGTGTCTCTACGAACTCTCTCATAGCGAAAAAGCAGACTTTAATCAACTGAAACTACAAATAAGGAAAATAAAGGAGAAAACCTCCACTAAAAAGATTAAAGCATTTAGGATGAGAGTCTGTTTGGCCTTTTGTTTTCTGAAGCAAAAAGTTCAGACACTGGGCCTGAACTGGGAATACTTTCTTCAGACTCAGTTTCATTACGAAACCAGAAACCAGAAAACATGCAGAAGACTACAAGTGTAAAAACGTTTATACTGTACACCCGGCTGCGTTAACGCTAACATGACCACTGGGGTCTGTTCTTCCGAGCACAGGCCCGTGAAAGGGAAGGACCTCCACGTCTGCCCAATGGCCTACCTGAACGGGCAACCAGGCCGGACCGGCCCCGAGCTCGAGACCGCCCCAAACCCCGCAGGAGACCCCGGCCCAAGGACCCCAACGCACCCCCAGGAGAGGCCCGGAGGTCCCGCTCCGCCCCAGCACAGAGCGGCTCGGCGCCTGCCGTCCCCCAGCCTCCCTCCCACACCGCCCAGCACGAGGGCTTCCTCTTCCGCAAGCACGATGTGGAAAGCCAGAAGAAAAACTCCAACAGGTCTGGGGCGCGGGAAATCGCCACTGTGGCGAAACGTTTGATCACTGGAGTGTCAGCAGCAAGAACAGCTGCTGCAATTTGCATTCAGCATTTTACAGCTAGCCGGGCACACTAACATATCCACTCTTGGAAATGATGAAGTGGTCTGAAGTCTCAACACCATGTTTGCCAGTATGAAGTCGTGCTTATTTTCCAGTGTGTAAAAAGGGCAGTATTTGCAGTAACGGATTACGGCTTCTTCTGTGACCGCAGGTCCTGGGTGAACCTGTTCTGCGTGTTATCCAAGGGGGAGATCGGATTCTATAAGGACGCCAAGAACACCACGACACCTTACAACAGCGAGCCCTTGCTCAGCCTGAGCAGCTGCACCTGCGATGTCACCAACGGCTACAAGAAGAAGAAAAACGTGTTCAAACTCAAGTAAGGCACCGGACTCGCCCTAAACCTCATCCCAAACCTCACCCCTCTGCATACATAGCGCTAAACTGCAGACTTAAGAAAATGTTGCTTCAGGCAGCAGAGTTTTCTTGTGAATTTTGAGCAGAGAAGGCCCAAAGTCATTTTCTCTGAAAGCAGATATCAAGCAAAAAGCAAGCCATTCTTTTGTGGTTTTCTGCTTTTGATTGGTGACAAGTGATGAGAAACCTTCTTGATGCAAACATTCAAAAGAAATGAGTAGACGCTAGAAAAACACTATTTTCCCATTTTTAATTATACACAGCCTCAGGCCTTCATGAAAACCATATTAACATACATCTGTAAACTACAGTATGGCTTATTACCATCTTGTCAGTGTAGGCTGTGGAATTCAGGGAAACAAAAGCATTAGAATAGTTATTTGATATGGCCAGCAGCCATAAAACTAAGGCTGCTGCTGGAAGAGATGTTAGTGGGGCCAGCAGGGGGCGTTACCCTGCGGTCCATGTGGGTCCTAATGCCCCAGTATAGTGACAGGGACACTATAATGTAAACAGGCGCCGTCCTTCAGATGAGACGTAAAAAACCGAGGTCAATAAGAATCCCAGGGTGTTTCTCGAAAAGATTAGGGGTGTAACCCTGGTGTCCTAGCCAAATTTCCCATTGGCCCTTACCAATCATGGCCTCCTAATAATCCCCATCTATGAATTGGCTTCAGTACTCTGCTCTCCTCCCCACTGGTGAGCGTTCTGGCGCACTATGGCTGCCATCGCATCATCCAGGTGGGGCTCCACATTGGTGGTGGTGGAGGGGAGTCCCCATTACCTGTAAAGCGCTTTGAATGGAGTGTCCAGAAAAGCGCTATATAAGCGTAAGCAATTAGTATTATTAATTAGAAATTATTTGCCTCAAGTAAAGGGCTTCACACAAGAATCAAGGAGAGAGCTTAATTTCCACTTTTATTTCCCCTTAGAACGAAAGATGGGAGTGAATATCTCTTCCGTGCTAAGGATGAGGTAAGATATTCATTTAAGACATTTCCTGTCCCGTGGTGTGACGCCCTGTGCATCGTTATTCCTGTTGTGCGGTCTTTACGAAGCTCCTAAATTTAATCCCGTCCTGGGCCATCCCAGCTTCTACATTCTGTGACAACCCTTTGCTTCTGTTCATCGGTAAAGTGAACTTCACTGCTACATGCAATTAACCAATTAAATATCGGTTAAGTGATTCAGATACTAACAGGGGTGAATCCCTGTATTGGCTGCTCCAGTATATGGCAAGACGTCTTAGACAGGATTATAGGGACTGCTTTGTGTTTCTGTCCTGCAGGAGGACCTGAAAAACTGGACCACCAACATCACAAAGAGCATCGACGAGCACGAGGAGATCGCCAGATGGGGGCAGACCCAGCCTACTACCTCTTCCACGGACGAAGGAACGAGGAGGGACGGAGACAAAGGAGGAAAAGCGGACAAGGCAGACAAGTCGGAAATATCAGAAAAGACGGAGAAGGCGGAAAAGGCGGACAGACGCTCCAGTGTCTCGGGGAAGAAGAAATGAGAGGGAGGTCACCTGCGGGGGCGGGGGAGGGGGGAGGGGTGACGGGCGTGGGGACGAACTTGCGGTGATGCTCAGATCCCCTCCCCCCCTACCTGAATCGAAATCAAAAGCAAAAAAAAAAAAAAAAAAAGGCGACCGGGAGCACGTATAGCCGTCTGCATCCCCAACTGTCCCCGTGTCTCCGGGAACAAGAGGCCAGAGTCGCAGAGTCGCAGAGCGAGCCCCGGCACCAGCTCTCTTCAACACCCTCTGCTTCGGGTGGCCCGAGTCCGAGTCGAAGCGGGACAGCCTGGTGGTACACTCGTACACTCCTCTGGCTAGGAAAGTACAAAATCAAGGTTGTCGCCCCAGTAGCTATCAAGAACGTTAGTTTTCCCTTAAATCTATCTATCCGCCTAATCTTGTAGTCCCAAGTAAGTTAGAATCAAATAAGGTAAGCTATTGGAAGCTTGGCAAGCGTTTTTTCCTTCTTGCTCTTCCTTTCCTTCATTTTTCCTCTCGCCGTCATCTTCCTTCGTGTCGAATTGGACCCGCAAGCGCAGGCCTGTCGACACGTGCAGGTGCTGCTCCCTCCCGCGGAGAGTTCCTCCTCCCCAAAGCCCGAGACACGCCGCCCTGAGCCGCGTCGGGAGTTCTCTAGGTCCAGGAAGGCCTCACCGGAGAATCGAGGACCTCCGCCTGACGACGGAGGAGAGCTGGAAACGGAAAGCTCAGTGTGGCCCAGGTGGCAGACAGCCCCACCAAACGGCCTGATCGAGTCGAACACCCTTCCCATGATTGTAATCTTTCTTATCCTTAACACTGGTTCCCTAGTGAAAAACAAAAAAAGCCTTTATGCAGATTCCAGCATGACACACGCTACCCCCAATCGAGCCTTTTTTAAAAAAAGCCATAAGTCTTCCATTTTCAGCTTGGCCAGTTTGTTGCATTTGAACAGTGGCCTATTGCTTCCTTGCACAAAGAAAGGTTATGTTTTGACACAGGAATCCCATCTTGCAACAGGAAGGGGCAACGCCAAAAGCAGTCAAGCCTGCTTTATTCCATCATCGCAATCATTACCAAATCAGGGTCTAAAAGAACTTCAGTTATGAGAAGAGTACTGTACGCTGGGCCAACCACCATCAAACACGTCAGGGGGTGAGAATCACACTAGCAAAGCACAGTCTGGAATACTGCTTTCTTAAGTCTTTCTAAACTGGTTGGTATTGCCCTGTTTTTGCACACTGGGGTGGGGTGGGAGACATATCAACATCTTTCTCAAGAGAGCGTGTTGGATGTTTCTTGTTTGTACAACAGGAAGAGGTGAGTGCTCTTTCGACATGCTTACATCCACACGGAGATACAGCGTGGACAAGCGTATGGCCATTCAAAGCCATCCCTGCAAAAGGTGAACCTTTGCAGAGCTGTAATGAAAGCAACAAATTGTCAGCCTCTTATCGACTTCAGCTGATGAAGGATTGGTTCTGCATTGCCCTTCCTAGACTCGTAGTTTTATTGACTACTTGGTTTGTAGTGTTGCTGGTGCATTCAAAGCAAATGATGAAAACTACCATAAAGTCTACTTGTAGTTCAGCATTTAGTGGTTAGTGCCACACCTAGCTGTATGGCAATATGTATACAATGCAAATATATTGTGACAAAAGCCAGACACTGAATATTTCTACAAGGAGTGTAGAATTTAAATACTTCTGAGGGAGGGGTTTTCATAATTAATATAACTCGTCTTAAGCAGCCTTTTCTGCTTTGTTTCTTCTCAGTACATACCGGGGTGCATTACCATATACCACAAGCAAAACAATGCACGTCCAACACAAAAGCTTTTTGGGGGGTAAAAATCGAATTGCCACACGTTTGAGAATCGCGAGGCATACAGCACGAAGGACATGCACAGCAGGTACCTGGATCGGTGTTGTATTCAGAGAAGTACAGAATGCCTACAGCTCGGGAGCTAGCGGAGTATTTCCAGCACGGTGAAGAGCAGAAAGGGTAGTCTGATAGGAATATACAGCTCATATCATATCTCGTGTGTTACTGGTATGCTTCTAGCGTACAGCGTCCTGTAGTCTTTTTTTTTTTTCCGGATGCAAGTGTTAGGCCTTGCATTTTCTTTCACACAAGTCAGCTTCATATGACTTAAGTGGGCACCATGAATACATTAAGTAAAACTTAGAATATCTTTTTTTTTTAAATGCCCATCAATTTTTAAATCTCTCCTCCTTTATGTCAACAATTCAGTAGATTTTTCTATCTGTAGTAATTAACAAGTTCTGCTACCAAAATCATTCGGAAAGAACCCGAAGGGGAATTTCATTGCTTTACATAACATTGGGCCCTGTACCCCATGGAGTCTCAAAGATGCACAATCTTTGATGCCTCGACTTCAGTCTTCTGAAATGGAGCCAGCGGCAGGGCGTGACTGTGGCTCTGCAGGCGTTGTGCTGGCAACTGGACCATGTCTGCAATGCAATTTTAAAACGGGCGACTCTTTGGAATTACATGGAAGAGAGCTGAGCAGACACAAGGTCCATCTTTCTCACACGGTTGATTTTATCCTTTGTGTTTCTTTTTTAATGAAAAAGTCAGACAAGCTCTAAAAGTCACATTCTTCAAAAAGCAAGAAACGTCTTACTGTACTCAAGGTTTGGTCTTTTATTTAAAGACGTGTATTTCTGCTTGGAAATGATAATTATCTTGTTAATTTCCTTGTTCATATTGTTATTGGTACAAAGAACTACAAAATGTTTTTCCGCAGTATTCTCTTAAAGCTGTTATGCAGTAGAACTTCTTTAGTCCTATAAGATTGATGATAAAGAAGCTATGGACACAATGATAGTGATGGTATGACTAGAAAATTTATGCAATTTTTCCTTTGCACTAAAAAGCGCTACCCCATTGCACAGTGCTAATGTCTGCAAGGCAATGGTGATGCAGGGTCAGTCCAAAAAAAGGCTCCTCTTTTTTTCTTGGTCAAATCTGTCTGCCCTGTCCGTCAGAGACGAATTGGGCTCTGCATGTTTCATTAAAAGGAATTTGGCAATTTGACAGCAATTGACCAAGGACTCATTCTATTTGGTCAGATGCAAATACAATGAGTATAAATGCTTTTTATTTACATGTGCCATAAGCTCAATGTTTACATTTAGTGTGAAATTGAACTTATTTTCTAACCAGTGTTTAAAATAAATAAAACCCTAAAGTTTTTTTTTCTCCTCTACAAGCAACTGAACTGTTTTCTCCCCTTTAATATCCCAGTCAGAAACAAGCAACTAAAATGTATGGAGATTGTGCAGTAGTTACTCATTTCACTCATATGACTGTTTGTCTAGCTACTGTAATGTTCACATTAACAATTCATTGGTGTTACAACAGAATGCCTTCGATTGTTTTAAGCTTGCCATGAAAGAGTACTCTCCCAATTGAAAGAATTGAAAGATTCTAATTAGAGAGGTTTGTAGCTCTACTGTACATATTCCTTTATTCGGCATGGAATTCCATATGATTCTGGTCTGTTTTAACAAGCAGTTTTTAAAGTAAAAATTTCTAAAAAAGCTTTAAAAAAAAAAGGCTTTCCTCGAGATCTGGGGCAAATTGTCCATTTTAATGGCTTTTATTTGGACTAAGAGGGCTAAGCCAAAGCATAGAGCTGTGGTTGTGTTCCTTAAGCTGCTGCACCCTGAGAAGTGGCCGTGTCCCGAGGCTTCGGGCAGCTCTCTCTGGGGTTTCCACAGCTGGGAGAGTGGAAGGCAGAGCCCGGGCAGTCCATGGGTGCTCACTAATAAGGCACTCACACAGAACCCCGTCTGCTGTCCACACGGGGCTCCAAGCAGAACGTCAGACGTCTCGCTTTTTGTTGGAGATGGTGGCCTTGTGTTGTATGTGGCTCTTCCAGTACATCCCCACCCTCCTCAACATCTACATTTTATAGCTGAAAAAATCATCTCTAATTACAGTAGATAATGAAATGAAAGCACAATTTTATAACATGTAGATTGAAATCTGGTGGAGTTTCTACAAGACATTAGTCTAGATACTTCCGTTTATGCTTAGATGTTATTACTCTTACGTTTTTTAAATACGGGAATTATCCTTACGTGTGGCATGCCTTTTAGAGTCTTTTTTTTTTTTGCTTTTAAAAGGAATTTTCATATAGAGCACGACCTCGCCTGCCCTCACAGTTAGTGCCATGGACTTTCAGAGTAACCTCTACAATTCATTTTTTAAAAATAATAATTTCTGTTAAAGATAAGCTTGTGCTTCGGTTCCCAGCTTTGAAAACGAGCCAGTTGCTTTGAGTTACTCTTGACAGAAAACCAAGAACAATATTAGAACATTGTCTTCTTGCAACAGCCTTCATCATTTGATGAAGCTGAACAGACTGAACTGTCCTTCTTCAGGCTGTTACCAATTTGTTTTTAATAGCCAGTCTTAATTGCAATTGTCTTAAAAAAAATACATCCTTGTCTTTGAATTTCTGCAAGGACTAACTGAACCCTGCACCACCATTCCTGTGTAAGCAACCTACTTGATTTTGTGCAAAGCTCCACAAGCTTAAAAATCTGTATAAAAATGTATTTGCTTCGGATGCATTCTGTAAAGAAGAAATCCTTCCTTTTCTGCTGTAAAACATTTTAAAAATAAAACATTTGACTTCTAACAAATCTGAGGGTCAGAAACCAGGGTGGGGGGGGAGAGGAGTGTGTGTGGGGAATGAGTATGTGTAAAACAGAAGAAAAAAAAGGTTGCATGAATTAGTATTAAATCCCTACTCCTGAGTCGCTGTGCATGTTTTTAAAATGCGTTTTATTGCCCTGATGATACAATCATTGTACAGTAGTGAGTTGGGGTGACATGTAAGCCAATGGATGTAATTAATGAGCAATGTATAAAATAGATCAGACCTTACACTCAGTCATTGCCTCTGTACAGTTATCTCTGTGAATTGATAAATACAAGTTGTGATATATCAACAAGCCTCTTCAGTCGTTCATTTTCTAGACTAACGGGGGCGATGTGCAAGCCTCCGGTGGGAGAGAACAAACAGGAGCCGTTTCTTTTTGGTGAAGCTGACGATTCCACACTGGGCCCCCCGCAGTTTGGAAAAGCAGAGGTTAACAACCAGGGCTCAGAGCAGCTGCCCCTTCGCAAGCAAGAGAAGGAGAGGAGGATGGAGGACCGAGGGGGTTGAAACCAGTCCTACACCCCCACCCCAGCAGCGTTAGAGAGCAGGGTGGCTGCCCCCAGTAACACACTGCATGCCGACGAATGGTCACCAGCACACGGCTAGCCTGTCTCAAACCCCGGTCCATGACAACAAAGGGTGTTAAAGTGATCGTCCAATTATAGCTCAGAAATAGGCCTCTGCCACAGGCGTAGTACAATAGCTAGTGAAACAGCCGAGGCTTAAACCAGCACCCCTGCAATCTCTTTTCACCAGTCAGTGAGAGAGGAGCAGAAGACCACCATCCGTTCCAAGATACCACCACTGGCGGAGAACAGGCAAGTTCGTTCTTCTTTTCAGAGCACAAAATGGGCATTTTGGGAAAATCGTACACTTTTCATTATCGCAATCACACACTTCTTAGAGCTTCCCCGTTATGCAATTTGCAAAACCATTTCGCTTCTCGAAAAGAGTAGTGGTGTAACCCCGGTGTCCTGGCCAAATTTCCAATTGGCCCTTACTGATCATGGCCTTCTAATAATCCCCTCTATGAATTGGCTACATTACTCTGCTCTCCTCCCCACTGATAGCTGATGTGTGGTGAGCGTTCTGGCGCACTATGGCTGCTGTCGCATCATCCAGGTGGATGTTGCACATTGGTGGTGGTGGAGGGGAGACCCCATTACCTGTAAAGCGCTTTGAGTGGAGTGTCCAGAAAAGCGCTATATAAGTGTAAGCAATTATTATTATTATTATTATTATTTGCCCCCCCCTCATCCGGGACCGCCCCATCGACACGCACACCCTTCCGCGTCGGTTTGCGGGAGTTTCACGATCACAGCCTTCAGTTTCACGGAGGGAGACAGCACTACCGACCTTTTCAAGTTTAGTTTCGTCCAGTGGAAACGTCTTCGCCGGTTTTTTTTTATACACCACCAGCGTCTTGAATTCTTCCTCCAGGATAAAGGACTGGGGATTTTCGTCCTCTGGGCTGTTGGTTCATATCCAGAGACGAGCGACCCCTGTGATATTCAGACGCGCACACACACAGTGGGGCTCTTTCCTTAAATAGACAGGCTGCCGTTGTGGGGGCGAGGTCATCTCCCTCTAGTGGCTAGAGGCGGCACTGCACCTCTAGCTCTTCCCGCCTAACTGAAGCAGACCACTTTAAATACTGCAAAGGAACAAGTAATAGGTTTATTCCCTGCTGAAGAGAGAAGAAAGAAAACACAACGTTTCGGTCGTGTTTCGGTGACACCTGAAGAAGGCTCCACGGCTGAAACGTCGTGTTTTATTTCTTCTCTTTTCAGCAGGGAATAAACCTATTACTCACACCTGAAGAAGGCCCCACGGCCGAAACGTTGTGTTTTTTCTCTTCTATTTTTTCAGCATGGAATAAACCTATAACTTGTTCGTTTGCAGCCTACGCATGCTGACGGAGCTACCCGCCTGAACTATTTCAATTTAAATACTGTATAGAAGGTAGCTGCACCTTCTTCGGGTTTGGCCCTACGCTGTAACGCTGTTTCCTTTCTTCTCCTTCCAGCATGGAATAAACCTTTACTTGTTCCTAGCGTGCGGTCGTTACTCCAGAAGAATTCACATTTCCCTGCTTACATGATTTTTTGCTTGGAAAAATAGCAGTTTCATCCGCGGATTTCATCAGTTGGATAGACCGTCCTGGTTTTAACGCTAATGCGGTCGTAAGGCATCCTTCGGCTTTTGCCTGCGTGTGACGTGTGAAGATCACGTAGTGGCGATAACTCACAGTCTCAGTGGTTTCCCATGTTTGCGATGCTTGGTACCACGCACGGAATTACTTTTAGCGCATCCTGCAACTCCACACGTGAATCTACCACAGGCAGGGTTTGCGTAGACAGCGTGGCGATCGTGTCATTCCCTGATGGATGGTCCGGTCGGTTCCTCTTTGTATTAAAACACCGACTGCGTTTGCTCAATGACTCTCCCTTATCCGGTACGAGTCTGGGGAATTCGTTTTAGTGAGGGCGGACCGGGGTGACGAGGCTACCGTTTAAAGTTAGTTCCAGAAACAAAACAAAACTCGCTGCAACGTGCAAACACGACTGACCAAGGTAAATTCAACTCGGATCGCTAGCATTGGCCAGGCGGGGCAGCTGTGCTCTGGGCTTTGGCGCTGCCGAACAGGAGGATGGGATGTGCCCTATCAATAAGAAGCAGAGACCAAGATTCCCTGCGATACAGTGAAAGAGACACTAAGTAATTACAGAAACACCCTTCCCCATATCTAAAGGCATACGCTGCAATAATCCTGTACGTACACCGTCGTGTACACGCCGTATTTGGATTATTATAACCCTTCTGCACAGAAAGCAGACTGTAGCGTCATGATCAATACGCACTCTGGCGCCAAACAATTTTTGGCAAGAATTTCTCCGTTCGTGCAGTGTACTGCCCAGAATTAATAGCACGTATGAGCTGAGCAGTATTGCAATAATAAGGATACTTTCTTGGGCGGGGCGGGTGGATCAAATCGCACAGGGGAAGGCGTGTGGACGACAACCATTTCCCTGTTTCTGAAACAGGGAAGGACAGACACAAGCGTGGCGAGAGCACTTTGAATGACAGCGCGCCGGAGCCAGTAGCGCAGAAGCTTGGTCTCTCCGGCTCGCCAATCGCTGACGAGTGCAGGGGAAGGGATTTTAAAATGAATGTTTCAGGAAGTGGGTCAAAGAAACATTTTGCAGATCAAGTTGAAGTTTGAGCACCCACCGGTAGCAGCACGCCTAGATATTAATATATATATATAAAAAAGTGAATCAGGGGCGATGTCGCTTAGCGACTAGTCTGATATGGCCAGCCTGACGAGAACAGGGGAAATCGTCCATCTGAACGTGGGAGGAAAAAGGTAAAATAAAAATGTGATCTCCGTTCTCTGATCAGAGAGTACATCTCAGATCAGAGAATTTTGTCTCGGAGGAGATGCAATACATATCTGATATAGTGTTTGTTGCACGAATACTGTATAGTCTCTGGCGTCGGTAACAGCAGATCAGCTAATTTAATTACCGGTAGCTTCTCAAGATCTAGTTTAAGAGAAGTTTGGAATTCCAGAGAACACCCTATCTTCATTGAACTACCTCATAACGACCTCTCGAGCATCATTAAAAACGATTTCACAAGTCTAAGAAAAAAAAAGCTTTGTTTCTTATAGCGGGATATTTTGATTCGATCCTGGACGTGAAAAAAACGTGTCAAAACATTTGTCATTTGTATTGGCTGTAAAACAAAAGGAAATGAGGATTTGACGGAAATGACAGAAATCGAAATCTTAGCAACACCTTCAATGCATTTCCGACGATTTGACAAGTCTCGGTAAAATTTCGACCTTGTCGACAGGAGTACACAATGCAATCCTGAACGTGGTTGTGATCATACATAATGTTTTTTACTCGCTTTATTCAAGACGCACTGCACAAACTGCAACTAGTACTTGAATGTCATGAATTGTGTTATGGTGAACCTTTTGACCGAGGGATGGATAACAATGAAAATTCAGCTAACATCAAAGCATCTTGCTTAATTCCATGTATGGGGACTACTGTGGTTTCCTGCTACAGAAATACATAGTTTCTTGTATCATTCATCCTGTTTAAGGATGAGACAGAGCACTAAAGAGGTAATTGAACTGGTTGTCCCAGAAACTCCAAAAGATTCCCACCTGAATCATTTCCATGAAAGTAAAGGTGCCTGTCGTCATGGGACTGAACCCATGAGCCTGGAGCAAGCAACTGTCAAAATTAATACCCTTCCCCTCTGGGAATTATGAAGTCTAGGTGTAGTGTGTGGTCAACATCTGTAGTGTGGAGCAGCGGATAGGGGTCTGGACTTCTCAAGTGCTTCATCATGAGTTCAGATCCCACATGACACTGCTGTTGGCATCTTTGAGCAAACACATTGGTATGTGTCAGTGTTGCAAAATTATATCTGCCCCAGTATTAACTTTCACTTCTAATTTTCAGGTTCAGCACATCAAGACAGACTCTGACATGGGTGCCTGATTCCTTTTTTTCAAGGTTGGTGCATATTGAGATCTGTGAAACGTGTTGGAGAAGACTGGGAGACTTCTGAATGTTTCTTAACATGTTTGTTTTGTGTCTGTATTTTTAAATCAGTCTTCTGAGTGGCCGAATTTCAACCCTCAAAGATGAAACTGGAGCAGTAAGTAATGCATTTTATAATCGCCCTGAAAATATGATTAGGTGTTTCCACTAGCTGTGAATCTTTGTTTTTGTGTTTTTGCACCACAAGATTAATGTAATCACTCATTTTGTTTGTGTCTTTTAGATTTTTATTGATAGGGACCCATGCCTCTTCGCCCCAATTCTCAACTTCCTTCGCACCAAAGAACTACATCCAGGGTACAGTGCATTGAGTCTTTGTGTGTCTTTGTAACATCTCTGGTCTCAGCGTAGCGTCTTAGATCTGCATTGTCTCTTTTTGCATTTCAGTGTCCCGTAGATTTAAAAAATAAACCATGTGTTCAGAGGCTGGCCATATTGAAATTCACTTTTCCTGGAATACTTCCACTCCCAACTTACAAATCTCAGCCTTGTGTAAACCTTGGTCAAGATATCGGTATTTATTTGTCAAGGTCCATAGTGACTTATTGTTAATGACCTGATGAACATTTATGTTGATGTTAATAATAATATATCTTGCACTTATACTGTGCTTTTCTGGACACTCCACTCAAACCGCTTTACAGGTAATGGGGATCCCCTCCACCACCACCAGTATGTACCCCCCACCTGGTTAATGCGATGGCAGCCAGAGTGCCCCAGTCTGCTCCCCAGACACCAGCTCTCAGTGGGGAGGAGAACAGAGTGATGAAGCCAATTCATGGGTTATTAGGAGGCCATGATTGGTAAAGGCCGAGGGAAGTTTGGCCAGGGCACTGGGGTAACACCCCTAAAAAAATACTGTGGTATGAAAGCCATTCATATCACACAGCACCGTGAACAAAGCTAGCAGCTTAAAATATTCAAATACTAAAGGCTGTAAAAACAGTTTTCAGAGACAACTAGCAGTACGGTTTCAGTGCATTGAAGTTCCAATGAGAGACTGCCAGAAACTGCAAGATGTATCAGTAGAGAGAAGAGGTGAGTCAGACCCCAAGAAACAGAGGGGCTATCAAGGCAGAGAGAATGCTTAGTGAGCTGCGGAGGTTTGGAGGAGGTAAGCAGATGGATGAATGATGGCTGATGCAGGGAGGCCAGCTCGGAAAGAATGGTGCTTCGGTCAGGAGCTGCCTGGGATATCCTATTTAAAAAGGGCAGGTCCTGCAGATATTTAAGCAGGAGAGAATTGTGCTGTGAAGCGCACCAGACACAGGGGCATGTGCTTGTTCAATTTTGTGCTTAGTTGGGCAGCAGCTGTATGAGCTCCATGTTGGAGACTGGTCATTTTCACATGTGTGCGCAGATATGTGTTCTGTATCAATTGACGTCTGAGCTATATCTGGGGACAGGGGTAAGGGAAGCACTTGGAGAAACAATCGGCAATTTGTAAAAACTGTTATTACACTGCCGCTGACCTGGCTTACCTGTCTTCACAGGTCTATCAACGTGCGCATGTTGATGCACGAGGCCGAGTTTTATGGAATCGCTCCTCTGGGTAAGACTTTCAGGTATTTCCATGGGTAGAAGGATTGTGGAATTTTGGAAAGCCATAACTCCTTTCCTGTTGCTCTATTCTTTTCCCAGTTTGGAAGCTGCAGCTGTGCGATGAGCTGGATACGTCTTCCTGCGGGACGGTCCTATTCAATGGATACCTGCCTTCCCCGGGTAAGAAGCGTTGTCAGTCTCTGGTTTTGGATTCTCACGTTTGGTGAGCCGAGCATCTTCCTATAGTCAGGCCTTGCTTTTGCCTTCTAGTTTACTTGAGACACAGAATTCAGGTTGAGAGGGTATCCCAGTGTTGATTTTGATTGGTCTGCAGGAAGTTGGACACACACGGTATGGCAGGTCACCTGAGGTTTGGAAAGACCTCTCAGCATGAGGAACAGGTGCAGATGGTGAATAACTAAAGCCTCGCTAAGACAAGCAGCCTGGTTATTGAGCCTCATGCAGAAGGCTGGTACCATGCCAGTGGGTGAAACCTCTGCCAGGCTTCAGGAGGTCTGACCTTTGCATTTTGTCATGTTTGCCTTGAGCTCTCTTGAGCTCTTCTCCGTCTCCTTCCCTCCCACCCTACAGTGTACCCGGCCAAGAGGAGGAACAGGCATAGTGTGGCGGGCCCACAGTTTGTCAGCGGGCGCCCAGGTCCCACGGAGAGGGTGCCAGTCAGGAGAAGCAACACCATGCCACCCAATCTGGGCAACGCAGGGATTCTGGGAAAAATGCTAGAGGAGAGGCCTCCTGGTAAGGCTCATCTAGAGCAGTGGCTTCCAGCCAATGGTATGCTGAGCTATGGCAGTACGCAGTAGCCTTACCACTGGCACCAGTTCACCTGTGGTTATTTCCCCATCAGGGAGTCACATTCAATCACGTCATGTGAGCACACTTCAGTCCCGTTTGTGCACTGCTCTATTCCCAAGACAATTCCTTTTCCGTTCTCCAGGGCAGTCCGTCGATCCTGGAATGGTCCGCATAGTGTGTGGCCATCATAACTGGATTGCTGTAGCTTACGCCCAGTTTGTGGTTTGCTACAGGTAAGAGCCAGTCCACGCATTATTCTGTTCTCCGAGAACCAGCTTCTTTACTCCGACCTGGTATCACGCGTGGCTTTTAAAAACATCTTTTAATTTCTTTTAAAATCAAAGAACTGCTCGCTGCCCAAATCTTTTGTGGTCAGATGAATCCGGCCGATAACTAAAACTTTGTATAATTCCTTTTTACTCTCGAGTGTCTCAGGGCAGTTTTCTTTGCTTTGCTTTTCTTTTCATATTTCCGTCATATAAATAACAATTGTGTGTCCTGTTGTACAGCTTTTTGAGAGTTGTGAAAAGCTCAGCGTAATGCATGACAGGCCAGGTATTGTGCTGGGATTGCATCGGAGGCATACCAGTGCAGTTCACAACCAGAAGTGGATTAATTCCATCATACAATGGCTGCTTTTGACAAACCAATGCTTACTCACTTTTAAAAACATTTCCATTAGTACAAAATTCACCCTTTAAAAATAGTAATTTCTTTAGCTTTGGAAGTGTCCTATTGAATATGCAGGTACCAGAGGCTTTCCAGAGTGTCACAGGCTAACACTAGCCAGCACTTTCATGCGTCAGTAAAAAAAACATCAATAGCCCTGATGTGACAAAGACGGCGCTCGAGGTGCTCGGCGTCACAGGAGTGTGTTCTCGTTGCGGGTGGGGGCCAGGGTGAAGGAGTTCTCCGGGTGGCAGCAGGTGTTCACCAGCCCGCGGCTCGACTGGGTGATCGAGAGGGTGGCCCTCAACGCCAGGGTGATGGGCGGCTCCCTGGGCGACAACGACAAGATGGTGGCCGTGGCGTCCTGCAACGAGATCATCCTGTGGGCCATCCAACCGGATGGCAATGGCAGCGAGATCGGTGAGCCGCCGGCGGACTAGGGCCATTCTTGCGCCAAGTGAGATTTCCCTTTGCCTCCCTGTTGTCCACGATCCCGAAAGAAGATGAAGGCACATCTTCGAGATCTTTGTCACTCACAAACCTGTGCTTTGTTCGTGGGTGTCCAGTAGGAATAAAAAAAAACATGAATCAGAAAGGCTCTTTCAAGCATTACTTTAAACTTGGAGATGACCAGATGGGTTAGGGTTTTGATCTCATGTGGACTTAGTCTTAAAAATATTGCCCTTTGTTCTCAGATTTGCCCATAAAGGTTTCTTCTTTCTGAGACTGAAGAGTAGACTCGTTCCTCGATACCGTTTAATTAAAGTGAAGGTACGAAGTGAGTGGTGTGACCTCTGATCGAAGACGTACGCTTGGTCCCTCCCAGGTGTGTTCAGCCTGAACGTTCCTGTGGAGGCCCTCTTCTTCGTGGGGAACCAGCTGATCGCCACCAGCCACACGGGGAAAGTGGGCGTGTGGAACGCGGTGACCAAACACTGGCAGGTACGAACAGGAGAAAAAAGGGCTAAGCAGGCTTTCCTAATCATTAGGAAAATCAATCATTTTCCTAATCAATCCAGGTGGATGCTGCACACTGGTGGTGGAGTGTCCAGAAAAGCACTGTGTAACTGTAAGCCATTATTAGCAATTATTATGAGATTCAACCGATCGCTGGCTTGTCAAAATGCCAGCAACCAAATTGACAAGACAGACCTGCTTTTGGTGCAGCATGAGAACAGAACTAAACGTTTAAGCTGCAGTGCAATGGCTGGCGGAAGTCCAAGCGCAAGACTAGGGGAGGCTCTCTAGGCTTGTCGGAGCAGCTCGGAAAGAGACCGGCTGCGTGCCGTGATCAGGGAGAGGCGAAGCAGGCAGATTGGGAAAGGCTGGTGACAGGAGTATGTAGAAGGGTGGGCGAAGGGTGGAGGAAAACGCTGCCTCGCTGGCAGCAGTGAAGAAGGCGAAGACGGAAGTGCCTTTGAACATGACAGTGGAATACTGGAGAAAAATAAGGGAAGCGGTTAGCGGATTGAGTCTACAGGAGGCTGGAGCTAGCAGGCAGAGATGATGGCAAGCGTCTGCTGAAACAGTGCTCTGAGGATTTGGGGAAGAAAACGTTCTTCTATGTCTTGGCCAGAGTGATTGCTAGTTAGATCGCTGTCAGAGCACTGATCAGCGCAGAAAGCTGTCTTTAAACAGCCAGGCTAATGAGCTGACTGAGGCCTTGATGGACTGCCTGATTGACAGGTTGTTGGACGAATCGAGAGGTGTCCGATCTCGTGCGCGCGGGGTCCGGGGGAAGGCCGTGAACTGGTGTGAATGATGGTGTTGCCCTGGCAACAGCAGGATGCGAGTCCATCCCGGCCTGAGCCTGACATCCTCAATTCTCTTTCATATCCAACTATATCGTATCCAAGCATCATAGAAAGCTGCCAGCCTGATGAGCTCTCGGTTGCTTCTTTTCCAGTTAGCTTCCTCAAAGTGACCCATTGCAGTTAGATCTCTTACAAACTACAAACAGCCAACAGTTCGCATGGATATTGAGACAGCATAATGGAACTGCTTTGTACTGTATAATGTGTTGATTTTTTCCCCTTGCATTTTTAGAACCAAGACGTCGTTCCCATTAATAGCTATGACACAGCTGGTTCTTTTCTCCTTTTGGGATGCAATAATGGATCGATTTACTATATAGGTAAGTCAGGTTCTGTGTGGGCCTGGTTGAAGATTCTGCAACAAAATTAAACCCTTTTACAGATTCGTACTCCATTTGACAGAGCTGTAACACCATGTTGAATTCAAGCAAGAGGCTTGTGGCTCTCTTTAGGTAACAATAGGTACAGTATAATTCTATTTTTCCAGTATCAAAACTTTTCTTTTATAAAACAAAGCCGAAAAGGAACTGCGAGGGATTATTCTGTTTAAGTGTAATTGGTATTGGCCTGAAAACGGTTCATGGAGGAACTGAGGTCTGCTTTCGCTCCCACCAGATGTGCAGAAGTTTCCCCTGAGAATGAAAGACAATGACCTCCTGGTGACTGAGCTCTACCGTGACCCCTCAGAAGATGCCATTACTGCCCTCAGTGTCTACCTCACACCCAAAACAAGTATGTCCTCCTTCCTTCAGAATTTACGTGTGTGATGTCTGCAGGCGACAAACAGAGACAAATTCAATAATTTACACTTCCACGTTCTACTGGGTATCCACCCCCTCCCCAAACAATTTGTGTTCAGATCCCATTTTTTTATTCACACAGAAGTTATTTACATTTTGGTTTCTCTTGGGATTTCGGTTTTCAGAACCAGATCTAAGAAATCTACAGGTGTTTGCATGTCAAGTTGCAGCAGTATGTGAAAACAGGTATCGGTTTAATATTCAACTGCGGGCAGATCTCTCACCGGGTGGTAAACAGACTAGAAGGGGTGTTTACTCACGGGGGACAGTACAGTATATGGTTGTTAATTTTGTTATACCTTTATTATACCTGCCCAATCTGGAGTCAGGAAACTGAAAGACCTATCGAAATGCTCACTTGACTCCACCACCTGTCAGAACTCCACGTCAATTCGGCTACAGGCTTTATAGTGCCTTATCGGTGAGTGAGAACTGTTGAAGGAGTGAGGTCACTGCAGGCTGAGCCCCTCTGAAGTCCTATGGGATAGGCCTGGATTAGATTTTAGTTTCCTGTCGGTCCAGTCGGATTCGGGTCGTCAGCAGTGCTTTGCCTTTGCCCTGGCAGGCGACAGTGGGAATTGGATCGAGATAGCCTACGGAACCAGTTCGGGCATGGTGAGGGTGATTGTGCAGCACCCCGAGACTGTGGGCTCTGGACCTCAGCTCTTCCAGACCTTCTCCGTCCACCGCAGCCCGGTCACCAAGATCATGCTGTCTGAGAAACACCTGACCTCAGGTAGGCTTCTCCTTGTTCAGGAAACTGAGAAGGTCCCATTGCATAGCAGTGCGTGGTCCATTCCAGATCTTGCAGGCTGCAGGCTCTTGTGCAATTCGAACTAAAGCTGCGGTGCATCACCTAGGTAGGATCTGCACGTCAGAGATTAAAGAAGTGTCCTTTGCTATATGCAAAGCATTCTGGGATGCCACCAGGATGTCAAGTGCTACAGAAATACTAGGCATCGTTTTCTTACTAATGCAAGGATTTAAATGACTATTCAGTACGGTGTTTTGCGTTTGACAGTGTGCGCCGACAATAACCACGTTCGCACCTGGACGGTGACCCGTTTCCGAGGAATGATTTCCACGCAGCCCGGCTCCACGCCGCTCTCGTCCTTTAAGATCCTGGCCCTGGAGGACATCGACGGGCACGCGGGCTGCAGCGCGGGCACAGATATAGGCGAGTGGCGTCCGTCCGCTTTGCTCCTTCGGATCTGCTGTATTTGTCCCTTAAAGCAGGACCACCTGAAAGAACAGGACACTGGAAGGCTCGCTGGCCGGGTCTCCTTAGCTTGCTGTGCTGAGAGGCAGCATTCAGTTTAATCCTGCGCCATTCTCTCTGTCCGGCCCATCGAAAGCCACTGCAATACGTAATTGCCTACTAGTCACTGAGCAGATGCTTATATTTAACCTGACTGAGCGTCAGGAATTGCTTGCATGTGGAAGGAGATCTGGTTCCCACTGGAGCTCAGCAGGAGTGCGGTTTCCGCTGGCTCTGCTAGGACCCCAACAGGCTGTGCTTTTCGGTTGCAGGGCCCTACGGGGAGCGAGACGACCAGCAGGTTTTCATCCAGAGGGTGGTGCCGGACACTGACAAGGTCTACGCCCGGCTGTCTTCCAATGGCAAAAGGTGAACTGGCGTCTCCTTTTCTTCCCCTGCTTGTTGCTCTCGGACTGGGCCCCCAGCACTCAGTGCTACTCAGCATGGGTGGAACAGGCAGCGAGCTCCTCGCACCCACGCCCTCCTGCCGCGAGGGTCTCGGCAACACTGCACACCCACATCCCGTCGGGACAGCCCCTGTCGCTCTGAGGCGCCCAACACGTTATTCAGTTGTGGCTCCTACTGTTGTAGCCAGTGAACATGTCCGGAAATATCCAGATGGATATGAAAAAGCAAAACACGTATGGGATATCTGAAGAGCCAGGGAATTACAATGGCTTGTAGCAGCCTCTGAAAGGGACAAATGGAAGTGCATTTAATGTCGAGAAAAGGAGGCACTTTACACAAAGGGTTGTGGGAGTATGGAACAGGTTACTCACCCACTTTGTTGAACACCCAGGCTTCTTTCTAAAAAATGTCTGGCTGAGAGCTTCAGATTAATTAGCTAGTAACTACCACATGGGCTACAACAGCCGAATGGCCTCTTCTCACCTGTGGCTGTTCTTAGGCTCAATTACCTGTACCCCTGCCAGTCTGCAGGGTGTATCCTGGCCTACAAGGAAGACACTGGTAGGATCCCACAGAGTGAACACATTCCTGCCCAGGACAAACCGGTGGGTTCTCACACTCTCCGATGGGATGGGTCCGATGATATTTCCAAACCACGCAGGACACCACCAGACCCCCTTTCAGGCTACTCCTGCTGCTCGGGGAGGCCCAGCGTGTTATTTGGTGGCTGATTCTGACATTGTGTTCACTGTACGTATAGCTCAAAGTGAAACTGCTGTCCAGTGCCTTCCACTGAACACTGGTTGAAGGGCAGGGCATTTCAATGGCCTCGCGCGGTCTCCGGTCCGTTTCGGACCTGTCTCCCCCAGGGTCTGCGAGGTGCGCTCGGTGGACGGCACGGCCATCACGGCCTTCGTGGTGCACGAGTGCGAGGGCTCCAGCCGCATCGGCTCGCGGCCACGCCGCTACCTGTTCACCGGCCACGCCAACGGCAGCATCCAGATGTGGGACCTGACCACCGCCATGGAGGTCGCCGGCCGGACCGACACCAAGGGTGGGCGGAGTCGCTGATCTAGACACACCAGATATACAGCCACAGCTGGCAGAGAGGCAGGGGTGCCATACACAATGTTTCAAATAATAATATCGCGCTTTTCTGGACACTCCATTCAAACTGCTTTACAGGTAATGGGGATCCCCTCCACCACCACCAGTGTGTACCCCAACCTGGGTGATGCGATGGCAGCCATAGTGCACCAGTACTCTCCCCACACACCAGCTCTCAGTGAGGAGGAGAGCAAAGTGATGAAGCCAGTTCAGAGAGGGGGATTATTAGGAGGCCATGATGGTTTGAGGCCAATAGGAAATTTGGCCGGAACACTGGGGTAACACCCCTACTATTTTTGAGACACATCCTGGGATTTTAAATGACCACTGGGTGTCAGGACCTCAGTTTTACAGTGCTTCTCATCTGAAGGACAGAGCCTTTTTTACAGTATAATGCTCCCGTCACTGTAATGGGGCATTACGACCCAGACAGACCGCAGGGTGAGCGCCCCCTACTGGCCCCACTAACCTCTTCTGGCAGCAACCTCAGCTTTCCCAGGGGGTCTCCCATCCAGGTACTGGCCAGGCTCACAGCCGCTGAGCTGCAGTGGGCTGCTAATTGTGAGTTTCAGGGTGACGTAGCTGCTGGACGAGTGATATATATGGTATGTATTTACTCAACAGAAAAAAGGAGACTTTGAGAACATTGCATCTGTAGTGGTGTTGGTAGGCCAGTAGGTGGCGCTTTTCCTCCGGAACAGAACTTGCAAGCCAGTATGGTGACATGGGACATGGTGATGCTCTCCTGCCAATAAGATGGGGAACCGAGCTGTTAAGTGCTTTTGTCCTCAAAGCTCTATTAAAAACACACCACACTATATGAGCCATTTACTCCGCATCACCACCAACTCTAGAACGAGCTTCTGTAGCAGTGTGCGAACAGAAAACTGTTCTAAACCCCGGTTCCAAACACTTCGTTTTTCATTAAACTGGAATTTTACCGACAGAGGAAAGCATAACGGTACACGTTTTAAACTCTGATCAGGACGCTGAGTCACACTGCAATGCATTTTTAAATTAAAGGAGCAATGCGGTGCTGAAACACAGCAATTATACGTCTAGACTTTTAAAAACACTAAATAGACTGGATCCAGTCCTCATCTGATGCGTTTTTAATACCTCTCAGTATACATTAAAATTGGGGTTCATTTCCTGTACAGAGGAGTTAAGATGTCAGAGATAACAGCCCTGGGAGGCAGACGGTACAGCGTCAGGGGGCAGATCCATTGCTCCGTGGGCTGGACCCTGCACCCCAGCTGGGCCTGAGAGCCCCAGGAATGCAGCAGTCTGATGCCTTCTCTCCCGGCTTGGTGTTGTAGCTTCCGGTGGCCCCACGGAGGAGGAGCTCCTCCGGCTGCTGGACCAGTGTGACCTGGCGCTGACCCGCACGCCGGACATAAGCCCCGCTGCCTCCTTCGCCCACACTGCCAACCCCCGCGCCTCCACCTGCAGGTAGGTCCCTCAGCTCTCGGGCTGGGCCCCCCGGCATGGGGCCACGTGCCCCAGCGGCACAGAGAATACAGCAGCCCCGCAAGGGGGAGGCGTGTTGCATCACTGTCTGTTTCAGGTTTCACATGCAGTAAATGAATTTAAACCCTCACTCCAAATATGTGTTGGAGCACTTTTGAGATTAACACCAGCAATTCACAGAACACAGTGCTTGGTGTTGTACACAAGTAGAAAGTGAATGTTAAAAACTGATCATGTAGTCATCTTACAATCACAACTGCTGAAGACGCGTACAGATGTCTGTTCTGGCTAGCTCCGTTTTGGTGCTTCTTCTCTGATGAGGACATCCATCAAGGTTTTTTTTGTGGGGTTTCTTCTCGGCAGCCTCCAGTCTCAGTCGAGCGACACTTCCCGGGATCGGGGCGCAAGAGGCTTCGGCCCCCTCCTGGGCACGCTCCCGCGCCAGCCCCCTCCCGCGGCCCTGAGCAAGCCCCTGGGCGCCGGGGGGGCTGGGCTGGCCGTGCACCCCCAGGTAGCCATCAGCCAGGCCTCCCTGAGCAGCGCAGGCAGCCCGCACAGCGCCGAGGCCCGCGCCAGGAGGCCGGAGAGGTGGGACCCCCTGCCGGCGCCCAGGCGGGGCAGCTTCGTGGAACGCTGCCAGGAGCGGGCCAAGAGCACCGATTACGCCAACATGGACGCCCGGAGGAGCCTGGCGGCCTCCAGCGATCTGGAGGCCAGGCTGGCCACGAGGACCCCCCCCCTCTCCTCGGCCCCCCTACGGAAGACCCCCTCCCCGGCGGCCAGGGCTCCACCACCCACCGCCCCCCGCCAGCCGAAGGAGGCCGGAGAGGCTGCCGGCGCCTCGCCCAGCGCCGGGTCGCCCGCCACCTCGGCTGGGCCCAAGCCCAGGATGAACGAGACCAGTTTTTAAGGGGCTTCTCCTGTCCTGCAGTTCATGCTCCTGCAGCCGGCCGGAGAGAGTGCAGGATTTCACCACAGCTGCCTGGCCTCGTTGGCAAGGTTCAGTTTTCCCTCTAGTGTGAAAACGAGAATTTTATTCCTCATCTGTTCTTTTAAAGATCTTATATACAAATGTATGCTGCACCAAAGCTCTTGACACTTCTCCAGTGTTTTGCAACCAGCAGAAGGGCTGAGGTTTTTTTTTTTTTGTTTGCGCAAAACTGGAGCAGGTTGTACTCTTCCAAGCAGCCCTGGCTCAGCTCCGGCTGCCCCCTTTAACATTTGCTGCAATTTGTTTTACTGTTACCTGTTAGGGGGACCTGAACGGTCTTCCCTTAAAAAGGGGGCCTTCGTGAATCTCGAGTGCTGCAAAACACCTTTCGTTTGGGTGAAACACTTTTTAATTTAAAAGACAAAATCAGCGCCTAAATCCTTCGCAGCCTGACGAAAGCAATAGACACGCGTCATGCTGCAGTGCACTTTTACTGTTCTGTTGGCCGTGACAGACCTTTCCTCTGGGGTTTTCCAGCACATTGGTGGAAAAATAAATTCCAAACGCTTTTGAGAGTTTCACTGTACTTTTCTTGTTGTGGGTAATACGTTGGCCCAGGCCATCATCAAATGTTTTGACAGAAAAGCTGAGAAACAAGCCAATAAGTGCGAGCGAGCTTTCTGGGAGATGAAGCTTGACATGCTTTAGTATCCCACTTAAGGAACCGAGCAGGGTCTCTCACAGTAGGACTCAAGTGCCTTCTGATAAATGCATTGCTGCCAAACTGATCATGTATGCAGTTCACTTAACAGGTGAATAAAATCCTGTTATGTCAAATAAAGCGTGTGATGCTTGTTTTTTTTTAGGGGATGTTCAATGCAGGGAGGCAACAGTTTCACAGCTCCAGGGCTCTGGTTTCAGTTCCAGGATGGGTTACCTGTCTGTGAGGTGTCTGCACGTTGGGGTGCAGTCTCTCCTGATCTGTGAGGAGCAGACATTGAGCTGCCTGATTCAGAGTAGCTATGCTACCCAACAGTTGGGATAATGGTCATGTGAAGATTAATAGTTCAGTATAGAAGGCCCAGTTTGTGTTTGCAAATCACAGATGCAAAAGCTCACATCTATCATTATTTACATATTTCATATAGGATGTTGTATTTGATTGTTACCTTGAGCATCTCTAGTAAAGCAGGCACTGGGCAGATACAGACTGGCATCACTGCATTAAGATCGGTCATGCTGTCTGCTTATGAAAGCAGTGCCTATTAATGGACAGGTCTGCATCAGGTAACAATCGCCGTTCAAACACTGGCATTGCTTAGTGTAGTGCCTCTACAAATCCCATGCTTGTATTGTGAGGAACTGCTTTTAATACGAACATGCTAATTCAGTAAATGTATGCAAACAGATGCTGTTGAACCCATTTTTTCAAATCCTGGATGTCTGTGTTAGATATTTAAACTGTGCCTGGAGGAGCAATTCAGGAGCCCAAGTCTTGCTTTCTCGCATTGATGCATTTGAAGAGCTCAGGCCCCACCACATGAACAACCTGTGTCCCATCTAAGCATTTGAAACTTTCAGGCTTTTCTGTCTGAGCTAAGGAGAGCAGACGTGTTGTCTTATCGCATGCAGCAGTCACACAAGCAACACAGTGAAGGCTCTGTTGTATTGCAGTTTAATGCGCGTCAGCTTTCTTTACAGTATAAGTGCATTTACCACCAGTCAGCAGGAGGTGCCCTTTTTTATTTTACCTTACTGAAACTCTTTGCAGACTAGATCCCTCTGCTTGTCACTGACGAGAACATGTTTCGCACAAGATGGCAAACAATTGATTGCAATATTCAAAAGATCACTGCTTCCATTTTATAATGCGAGTCACAGGTCTGTCAAAACCTCTTCCTTTACAGTATTGCCAGTCCAAAGCTGGAGAATACTCTGCCTGCACTCTGGAACGAACTGACCTATATTGTTTCATCCACTCTAGTGTCCTCCTAGGACTTAAAGCTCTTTGAAATTCACTCCTGTGGAGGACTGCAAACATCACGCCTGATTGATTTCACAGTTTTCAAGTAAGCTTGGAGTCTGGGCCTGCAGTCTCAGCTTCATTAGCCACGGAGTAGACCTCACCATATGGCAAACAGACTGACAGAACTAGAAATTGTGTTCCAGCTGCATTTTCTGTGCTACTATGAGTAATGTGGGAAACTTATGCCGGTTTTTAACTTTCTACAGACTTATTCAGGATATAAATAACAGCAGGACTTTTCCCTGAGAATGCAATTAATATAAATAGCAATAAATGTCTTAAGTCACACCCTCTACTGCGTGCCTTCAAAACAAGTTAATATAACTTGAATAAGGTAGAACAGTCAGATTTTATAAAAGCACCCTGTATGTTTTCAATAACATTTATGTTCCGGTTACCAGCATGAAAAAGGACTTCATTCCTACCTAAACCAACCTGACAGGATGCTGGCGATTCCAGTCCTGGGTCATGAGCTGGCAGGTTTACTGTGGGAGAGCAACAGTAGGGCATGTTTCCGGAATAATCCCGCAGGAATTCGCTAGAAAGCACCAAAACAATATGCGAAAGGCAACCGGCGAAAGCGTTTAGAAAAAAGAAAATGGAATCTATTGCAAAAGTTACCGCTTTCTATGGGCGGCCCAACACGGGAAGCAGGCGATACCATTTTTTCTTCCAACCTCTGAAACCCCTGACCTTTGCGTTTCAATTTTTTTTAACCAAATAAACGTTTTAAACCGAATCTATTCTAGCACAAATCAGGATACACTTATATCCCGTCGCTCACGTACTGTAAGTGACTAACTACCCCCTCCGCCCTTAGATACCCGGAGTCAGCGTCGTTCGTACGCAGAATTCCACCTTAAGGCATCCAGACGCGATTGTCCCTGTTTAGCACTCGCTAGGCTATCTTTGGCGCCCTCTTGTGGACACTTACGGGATTGTACACATACTGTTGCTCTGCCACAAAGGAAAATCCATTTGACAATAATGTGATATGACAGTTCCTGTATGTACTTGGAAAATTCAATACCATATCACAGGTGGCTCAGTTGTAGCAGAGAAAAACCGAAAGTATGCTCCCCCCCATAACATATTTGGAATATCCAATCCATCTCGGGTTGATTTCGAGGCGATGAAATGTTTTTCCTCTCTGGTTCCGGTGTGAGCACATAGGAATGGTGAACTCGGGCAGCCTTCCCAGAAGGGCCGGGCTCCACGGCGTGGGGTGGGGTGTGTCGGTGTGTCACTGGGGGACTGTGTGCGTGTGTGTTTGGGGGTCACATCTTGGCCTCCAGCATCTCCAGGAAGAGTTTGTGCATGGGCACCCTGCCCTCCAGCTGCAGCCGGCAGAAAGTGTCCACGGCGCGATTGGCGGTCTGGCGGAGCAGCGGCAGGGTCATCAGCAGCTTGCCTGTGCGGTGGGGGTCCCCGGGGTGCCGGCCGGTCTCGAAATCCTGGAGGGCCTCGTGGAGCACGTCCTGGAACTGCTGGATCGCCTCCGGGTTCTCCACACTGCCGGAGTCTGCAGCCAAGAGAATGCAGTCCCGCATCAAGACATCGGGAAGCGCAAGTGTTACCAGAGTCTACTCTAGCTGATCAACACCTTTGTCTTCTCCCGAATTGATTACCGTAACGCTCCACACGCTGGGGTTTCTAAATCCACCTTGCACAAACTCCAGCATGTCCAAAATTCGGCAGCCAGAATCCTGACCAGGTCCAGTGCAAGTGTTAACATCACTCCTACCCTGGAGTCCCTGCACTGGCATCCTGTCAGGTTTTGTGTCGGCTTCAAAATCTTCATGCTCACCTACAGTATAAGGCTCTGCATGGCTTGACACCTCAGTATCTGTCTGAACTATTATCGTCCTACTCCCCACCTCGCAACCTTCGCTCTTCTAATTCTGCTCTCCTAACTGTCCCCCAAGCCCGTCTACACTCTATGGGTGACAGGGCCTTCTCCTGCTGCGCTCCAAAGCTCTGAAACTCTCTCCCCAAGGATATCAGAGAGTCACCCCTCTAAGGTTATTCAAATCCAGACTCAAACCTTCCTCTTTAGAAGAGCCTTTACATAATTAGTTCAGGTGGGGAGCTGCGTCAGCATGCGTAGGCTGCAAAGGAGCAAGTAATAAGTTTATTCCATGCTGAACAGAGAAGAAAGAAAACAACATTTCGGCCGTGGAGCCTTCTTCAGGTGTGTGGAGCCTTTACATAATTAGTTCTATTATTTATTCCTTTACACCAACCGTATTCAGTAGCCCCATCAAATGTCTCCTCTCATTGTGTATTCTCATTGTGTATTTTTTTATTGTTATTGTACTTCTGTAAAGTGCTTTGAGAAGCCACCTTTACAGGAGCTATTTTAAAAAAAGTTTCTAATTATTTTTCCTGGTCCTCACAATGCACACACCTGCTGGGTTTCATCGCCGCCGAGCTCTTTGGTCAGAAGAATCCTGAACTGAGCAGACAAGGCATGTGGCTCGAACTTTCACCAGTTTGTTTTTCCAACCCAAAGGTGACAGATTTTAAGTTACTGAAACGCAACAGCTAAAAGGCAGCCTCCAACATGTTGAGGAATGGGGAACAATGAAAGTGTCCAGACTCAGCCTGTCACTGGGTCTGTTAAGGGCTCAGTTGTTTAACTGAGAGCTCCGATGGTGTGAGGGTCCCCAGGAGCAGAGAGGAGCTAAAGGAACAGACAGAAGCCCCTTTGTGAGAATGTGCGTTCAAAGTTTTCATGCTGTCACCTCTGGTCAGGCAAGCACAGCCCTCTCTGTTAGTGTCGCCTTGGACACACTCTGGCTTTTAGAGCATACAGGCAGCCAAAGGCTGGGAGGACACTCACAGCTATTACAGACCTGCACAGTTTTTATTCCATTACTACATCACATTTTAAAAACCCAGCAGTAAAATGAACCTGCATTGAGAGACAATCTAGCTTAGAAGACTAAGAGCCTCTAATAAACTCTAGAAACCTGAGTTCGAAGAGTGAATTCTCCTCCTGTCTCGTTACATAAGAAAACCTGTTCTGTCTCAGAGTTCTTCCCTAGACACTGACAGGACAGAAATCCCAAGTAATGGCAGGAGACACTGGAAATGGGTTTATGAGTTCCTGAGATAGATGGCTAGGACGATGAAATGGATTTATTGATCTCAGCTGCAGGCAGAACAATCTCTCACACAATTCCAGTATTGATTATTTTTCTCTTGTCACAGGCTTCTGGAGGCGGTAGGGGGGAAATCATTTTCCAAACGAAGGTTTAATATGTGGAAAAAGAAGACATTTACAGAAAGGATACTTGCTCACGTTTTGCAGGCGATGCTTAAACTTTTCACAATCATGTATAAATAATCATCACTGCAAAATCTCCATGAAAATGTATTTAAGCGCATTGTACAAAACTGACCTGTGTGCGAAACTGGACTAAACAAAGAACATGACTGGTGAATGACTGGCGTAGTTTTTTCTATAAGGTAAGGAGTAGCAATCCACCAAAGTATTTCCACAGAAAAACTGTGCATCAAGCTATGAGTATCAGGGAGCCCTTACCTGTGTGTTGAATATAAAAGTGTGGAGTAAACTTCTTGTTTTCTGAAACTGTCCCTCACTCACCCCAGAACAGCTCTGCTCTCATGAGTGGCAATCAGAGACACGAGGCACCCTTCGTCTACATACCCAAAGCTCATTTAAATTGTACACTATCAGTCAATGAGATTGATCGGCCTCTTAATGACAAAATCAATGCCCTAATTCTGGCCCTTCAGCCAGGACTGTGTCAGGGCAAAGCCAGAGATGGACACTTTCATTTTGAATCCTTGCTGAAGATGAGACCCTTCACTTCAGAGGACCTTCCCATGAGGAGCCTCTGAGGAAGTCTCCACCCGCTCTGTCTCACGGTCTGCGTGTAGGCAGACTGCGAGGACTTCAGCCCAGAAAGTGAGACCTTTGGTTGGCTGCCCAGTCCCTTACTGGTCTGTTAAGCTGCTGTTACGACTGCAGCTGGTCTCAACAAACCCCTCATTATCCAATTTCCCTTACACACCCCTTCCTTCACTATTTAAACCCTCAGTTCACCCTGTACCATTGCTCAGTAGTACAATCTCCTCCGCCTCCGGAGCACACCTCGCCCTTTCCTCCTCAACACCTCGTCTGGACTCCCTCAGCGTTGACTCTTTGGTTTTGGTTGGGGATTTCTCGCTCTTGCCTCGCCCCTGTCGGATCTGTTTGCCTCTCCTCTTGCCTACTACCTGGACTTGACCCTACCTGGGACAACGCACCACTCTACCTCGTCGCCTGCCTGGAGACCCGCACAGGGTTCGTAACTAACACCGTTCTTACAGCTGGTAGCTGTTTTGGAAGGGGTATATTTCTCTTTCTGCAGTTTGGACATTACTCAGAGCAGTGCTGTGGTTAGCAATAGTGGCTCTTGGTTGCTGGGTCCGTGGTTCAGTTTTCATTCTGGGTACCTCTCTGTATGGAGTTTGCATATTCCCCCTAAGCCAGCTTTAGTTGTACTTCACTACCGACAGTAGTAAAGACACGGCCTTTCAAGAGGTTGGTTGTATTTCTGTATAGTTTAGGCTCACTTTCTCACCTTTCTTATGCAATGAGTCAGTTCAGGCTCTAATATACCAGGTTTATTCATTTGGCAGATGCTGTTTAACAGCATAACAGTGAGTTAACAGCTAAAGTGAATTAGGGCACTGGGGTGTCAAGAAATACAAGTGTTCTTTATAGGGGTATCACTAATTAGTGCTGTAATTAAAAGAAAAGTGTATGTAAAGGAACATGAAAAGCATCAAGGAGTGCCAAAACAAACAAATCCTTCATACTCAGTGAGCAGTTGCTTGAAAGGAGCTGTGAAATCTTTTTCCTGGCCAGCTTTTAGTGAAGCAGGCTGCAGGGTGTTTAAGCTGTTGTGAAGGCGGTGAGCTCCGGGGCTCAGAATCCTGCACAATGCTGGGCTCCTACAAAGAGGGTTGAGATTTGCTCCCTGACTCCACCACTGCGTCCCATCCACCCCTGTGAGTGAGTTTCCAAGCCAGAAAAGTCCCAGGAACTCAGCAGCAGCACGGACGCGTAGACCCCTCACTAATCTCAGCTGCTTGCTACAGTTAAAAGTCAATGCTAAATAAGTCATTGCTAAACTGATCATTTTTTATTACTCAGTTCCTCCGTCTGGAGAGTCCAGTGTCCTTCAGCCAGGGCCCTGCTGTCAGTCACTCTCTGGTTTGGGCTGGGAGCTGTGAGGGCTCCTTGCCAATACTGGCAGCCTGCCCGCTTGCTCTTTCCCTGACAGCTGTCAATAGCCATCTCCCCTCCCCGGGACACTAACAGCCTTTTAAAAGACTCGCTCTCCAGAGGAGAAGTGACAGGGACTCCTGCTCAGCTCCCCGGAGGATCAGGGACTTGAACCCTTGTTCCAAACCTTGCCCTCGCCAGATGGAGGCGCGCGGAGGGAGGGGCAGGGAGAGAGCAGGAGAAAGAAAATGAAATCCGAGTTTAAATGAACAGAAAAAAAAGGAGAAAGCTGAACTCTGACAGGGTGATGGACTGGTGTTTGTCTACAGAAGAAACACTGCGATAGGGGACGGACTTTTTCCATGCAAGTCTGTGTGTTACTTCCTCGCCCATAGTACAACTATTACCTCACACATCTCCTGCTCAAGAACCCTGTACAAGGTCAAACTACTACCAATGGTCTGGTGACACGCACAGCTGTTTTGCTTGGATTTCTTCCAGCCGAGCCCTCAGTTACACAATCAAACCCCTCACTGACTTAATAATAATGAAATTAATGAGAACTGTTTGTTCCCAGCTCTTAAACATATTGGATCTTTAATCGTTCTATTTTGTAAGTGAAATAAAATCCCTAACTTGTGACCAGAACCAAAATGCAAGCATAGATTTGAAGCGGCTTCTTAGATCGAGCCTGGCTTCAATGATCTAAGGAAGGTGGGATGGAATGAAGACCAGCAGGTGTGCGAGTCACCAGGACCAGGATTGGGAACCAGTGTGTTAGAGGTGGCGTCTCCGTTTTGTGCTGGGTTTTGGGATGTCCACATTTGAGCATCTGTGTCCAAGCTACTCATTTTGACATAGCACTTTTTTCATGCAGGCATGCCCCTGTTCTGAGAAACAGGGATCTTTGATGCTGCAAAGTGGAAATCAATGTCCCGCGTCGTCGCAGTCAGCTCACCTGAGTTGGCAAGGACCATGGCTTTGAGGGTGACCACCTCCTCCGGGCTGAGGTGCATCTGCTGGTACTTGGAGATCAGGTGCTTGAGGGCTGTGTACAGGTCTTGCAGTCCTGCTGCCCGGCACTGTGCCCGATCCAGCCGGAAATTCCCGGCGAACACCAGCTCCTCGGTGAAGCTCAGCGACCGGGACACTACGACCAAAATCAACGCCTCCATCCAGCCACTCTGGAGCAGAGCCATCTGGTCCACCAGGGAGAGAGCAGAGAAACCTGGGAGAGAGGCACGAGAGCACATCACAGCAGAGCTCCGGAGGGGACTCACCGTGTGTAAGACAAGACTGAATACTAATGCAGACTGATTTGGATTTACGAAGCCCTGTGATATCAAATTGAGCAGCCTCAGCACAAGAGGTGTAGTGACACAACACCATGCACAAAGCCGAGCAGACACAAGCATAGCAGACAAACACAGGAATAGATCTGCATTGTGCAGTTTCAGGAGCAGTGGGGAATTCTTGTTTCTCTAGGACAGGAATCCGATTATTCCTAATGTTGATTTATCTGTGGTTCTTTTTTTTTACGTTCTTCAATACCATCGGCCTAAAGGCACAACAAAAGATAAAATATTAACAACAACTTTTTCTGTTTTGCACACAGGGGTGATTCAGCCTGCCTCCATCCTCTGAATGGAACAGAACTGCCACAGAGGTGGAGGGTCCCGACACGTCTGTGCTGCTCTCTGCCCATGTGCATCTGGAAGGCTAAGGCAGACCCCAACCTCTCCACACTCCAGGACATTGGTCCTGCTCGGAGCAGCACAGTAATTGAGAACGGTGTAATGAGCCGATTGAGTTGCCCCCCTGTTTTCAGGTTGCATTACTTGCAGTGTTTATCACAAGCCTACAGCTGGTCCCTGGGCAGGAGACCCAAGTGCCTCTTAAAAACGAATTAATTAACAGATTGGAAACAGCATAATCAGTCTGATCAATAGAGCAGGATCAATAGCTGACAGTGACTGGTGACAGTGAGGGATTGCAGCTTGGGAACTTTTTGGTTTTGGCCAGGGCACCTGGAAACAGTTTCTGTGCAGAGTAAAGGAACTTTTAACTGAAAGAGTCCAAATCCAGCTGAAGGAGCAGCCCCTCCCCTAGAGCTCTTATATACATTTGTCTCTTGCTCTTCAATCCTTAATCCTTCATTTACAGTAGGATTTCAGTATTTTCACTAGGGTTTGATTCATTATCCTGCCTGGGTATCGGAGTGCCTTCACCGTATTGTACTGCGCTGAGCCACCGCCTTGCCACACAGACAGCACAGTGTATTGTCCAGCAGGAAGCAGAAAAATAAACTTCAGCACAACCATAGCAAAGTCCCAAATCCCACAGTAAGTTTCCAAAGGCACACTTTTCTAAGGACATCCCAGCTGGCTAGTGAGTCATTGCCAGGCTCCTCAGTCAAGCCGGCTTGCAGGCACACTGCAGTCACTATCCCCTGGCAGTGTCCACCTGGGCAGCCCTGTGCCAGCCCTGCAGGGGCTGCAGGTTCCTTTCTCTTGAGAAGTTGGAGATTTAAAGAGACCTATACAACCTGCGGTGCTCCAGCCTTTGAGGTCCAGAGCTGAGCACCCAAGCTATACATGGCCTCCGAGCTTGGGGAATTTCTCAACGAGTGGTGGCCACTGGACACATCTAGCTTACTAGAGTAGCTGACTGACCTGAGGAATTCAGTCAACTGTGCCTTAAAGACCCAACATCTTGAATGGGTCTTCTTGTTCCAGACACCCACAAATGGGTGTTTGTGGACGTGGAAATGTTTCCTAGTCTTTTTTTCTACATTGGAATAATCATTCTTATAAAACACATTAATTTGGAATCTCTTGTGCCTCCACTTATACTGGTCTGAAAAGTCACATAAGGATGGGGGCAAGATGAGTTTCCTTCATCCCTTGCTCAGTGTACAGGTATGGTTCAGAAACACCAGCGATCGAGAAAAACAGAGATACCTGGGATGTGCTTAGCCCAGCCAATGACGACCAGCAGCTCCCTGTTCAAAAGGTCACACAGGGTCATCAGGGTCTTGATGTCGCTGTCAGGGGTGGTGGGGTCAGGCATGGCGCAGACTGGAGTGGGCTCCATCATAAGGAGGTGCGATATGACTTTGTTACCTACAAAAAGGCACATACACACACTTATGTCACTGTTCGTATGCATAAAGCTGCATATACCTTTACACAGAATGATCAAAATGAATGATACAGACAATTCAACATTTTCATTCCATTCAGCCTTGAAACTCTAACATTATACCACTTGGGAGTTCTTATTAAAAACCATTAAACCATTATTTCTGCTCCTTTCTGTGACAGATATTTGAAAACTCATATGGCAAAGAGGACATAAAATAAAATAGCCTGTGCTCTACGTCATGCAAAACATGGCAAACTTATGTTCCCCTCTTTAATCACTTTTCAGTGTGAATACATGAAGAAATGAATGAATGAGTGCAGTGGTGGCACCTGTGGGTTTGGTGGGGCTTGAATATGGGGCTTTGATGCAGAACGGCCCTCCAGAGTCCACTCGTCTCTTGTACTTCTGGCGACCCCCCCGCACACGGTCCATGCGAACGCCTGCGGACACAGTTATCATCAACGTTATTCCTGCTGGGGTCACTTCAGTATGGAGCCCTGCTAGGTTTAAATGGTCAGATCTGAGTTAGACATGAGATACTGTAGACCGCATGCAACATCCTCAAGAACAAAGTGGAGCATTGGCGGCCACCCCACTGGTCTAGTGTCATACAGCATGTATGGCCTGATGCAGACTGTCAAAAAGAACAAAGCCGCAGAGGTACATGTAGGAAAACCCCTGGGCCATCTGCTTGAACTGTTCATTTTCTTGCAGCAGGTGTCTGCAATAGTGGCAGGAGAGACAGAGGCAGAGGGCTGGGTAAGACAGCCCCTCAAGGGGACACTGGGAGGAGAGACAGAGGCAGAGGACTGAGTGAAACAGCCCCTCAAGGGGAAACTGGGAGGACGGAGAGGCAGTGGGCTGGGTGAAACAGCCCCTCAAGGGGACATTGGGAGGAGAGACAGAGGCAGAGGGCTGGGTGAAACAGCCCCTCAAGGGGACACTGGGAGGAGAGACAGAGGCAGAGGGCTGGGTGAAACAGCCC